AGTTGTCAGTTCTGTGGAGCAGCAGGCTCGATAATATCTATATGACGATCGGCTCGGAGTTTACGCCCATTGTCCTGACGGCCTTGTCTCTTACGACATATTCTTACATCCACGGAAGCTTGCTACCTTCTGTAGCGTTCACAGCGATCAGTCTGTTCCTCCAACTTGAGGGCATTGTTGGGCGGATCCCTTACTTGTTAGTATCTGTTATCACCGCCCAGGTGAGTGCCGACAGAATCGACAAGTTTTTACGCGCGCCAGAGCAAGAAGAAAACACACATCCGGGAGAGGTCATCTCGTTCCATAATGCATCCGTGACCTTCCCTTGCGATGCTCAGGATGCAGCAGCCGACCGTTTCGCATTGCGAAATCTAAACCTGGTATTTCCGAACAACGCTCTCAGTATTATCTCGGGCCCGACGGGATCGGGAAAGTCCTTACTGTTGGCGGCTATTTTGGGAGAGGTGGAGGTGCTGGGTGGCTACGTCCATGTCCCGCGAGATGTCTGTCCCCAGGAGCGCTTCGATAACAAGGCAACTGCTAGCAACTGGATCCTGCCAACGGCTATGGCCTTTGTTTCCCAAACTCCGTGGATTGAGAATGCCACGATCAAGAACAACATCCTCTTCGGTTTACCCTATGATTCGGTCAGATATGAGAAGGTGCTACAAGCATGTGCACTGACAACCGATCTGGCCTTGTTCGAGGATGGTGATGAGACCGAAGTCGGCGCTCAGGGAATCAGTCTCAGTGGCGGACAGAAATGGCGCTTGAGTCTGGCACGCGCCATCTATTCACGCGCTGGAATCCTCATCATGGACGATGTCTTTAGCGCTCTCGACGCTCATGTGGGCAAGCATGTCTATGAAAACGCAGTAATGGGCGAGCTCGCAGTGGGCAGAACTCGGATTGTCGCCACTCACCATGTGTCGCTTGCCTTGTCCGGAGCGAAATATGCTGTTAGTCTCTCCGCTGACGGAACTCTCAAACACGCAGGTTCTGTGGACCAGCTAGAGGCGGATGGTGAACTCGATTCTATCCAAGAACCAAATAACAGGGAGATTTTGATTGAGGAAGAAGAGGAGCTGACAGTGCCGGCTGCCTCTGCTCCTACCGCCCCCAAGGGGCCCCCGAAGAAGCTTATTGAGGCGGAGAAGAGAGCCACGGGTCGTGTCGAGATGTCAGTCTATTCCGGGTATCTCAAGGCAACCGGAGGATGGTCATTCTGGATAGTTCTTTCTTGTCTGTTCGCGTTGTTCCAGGCATTGATTTTGGCTCGGAATTACTGGATCAGGATCTGGGCAGATGCCTATGGCGATGAGCAGGGGGTGACTCAATATACATCATGCCCTCAACACAACAACCCGCAGATACAGTTGGCAGGCTATTCAACGCATACAGTCTGCATGAGCAGGTCAAGCAGTCTCCCCATTAACGTTCAGAACCGAAGTCTGTGGTTCTACCTAGGGTTGTACTGCGTCATTTCGACTTTGTCAGTGATAGTTGCCGTTAGCCGGGTATTCAACCTGTATTATGGAGCCGTCCGCGCATCACGGAGAATATTCAAAGATATGCTACACAGCGTATTCCATGCACCTCTTCGATGGTTCGACACAGTTCCCACGGGAAGAATTCTGAACCGCTTCACAGGAGACTTCAGCCTTCTGGATTCACAGCTCCCGCAGATGTTCTATTACTTTGCCATTACCCTCTGGGAATTGGTCGGTATATTGGTTGCAGCCATTTTCATCTCACCGTTTATGGTCTTGGTTGCGATCTTACTACTGGCATCTTGCGCCTTTATAGCACGGAGCTACCTTGCTGCTGCACGAAACATCAGGCGCATCGAATCCAATAGCAAGTCGCCGGTCATATCACACTTTGCAGCATCCTTGACTGGGCTTTCCACTATTCGAGCATTTGCCAAAACCGAAGAATTCAATAAACGGATGTACGATCTCATCGACACTTACGCCGCCTGCACATGGTATGCTGGCTATCTCGGCAGCTGGCTTCATCTTCACGTAGGATTTGTGGCCGCTTTATTCCCAGCCACTGTGGCTGCCTTCGTGATAAACACCCCAGGTATCGATGCTAGCTTGGCTGGATTCGCCCTCTCCTTCGCACTAAGCTTCACTTTCTTGACTGCCTTCACTATCCAAATTTCGACAAGAGTTGAGCTGTTCATGAATGCAACAGAGCGCATCTTCGAGTATCGAGACTTGCGGATCGAGAACCCAGACGGCGCCAGCGTTAGGGCCAGCTGGCCCGAAACGGGTAGAATAGAGGTTGACGAGCTTGAAGTCGGTTATGCACAAGGTTTACCATCGATCCTGAAGGGACTGACCTTCACTGCGGAGCCGAACCAAAGAATTGGGGTCGTCGGTCGGACAGGTGCTGGTAAGTTGCCTGCAGCATTCCCTCTTCCTTATCCCACTAACAATGACAGGCAAATCTACTTTATCTCTTGCTCTTTTTCGTTTCTTGGACACCCGCAAGGGCAGTGTCGTCATCGACGGAGTTGACATTGCCAACATTCGACTTCACGACCTCCGTACCCGTTTAGCCATCATTCCCCAAGACCCTGTTCTATTCTCCGGTACCATCCGGTCCAACCTCGACCCCCTCAATCAATACAGCGACCAGGAAGTCCGAGAAGCTTTGGCGCGTGTCCACCTCATCCCCTCCGGAAGTAGCACACCACTATTGAAGGACGACCAGGGTAATCAGTCTGGTGCTAGTTCCACCATTGCCGCTTCCGAGCAGATCGGAAACACCAACATATTCCAGTCCTTATCCTCGCCTGTTGCTTCGGGCGGATCGAACCTATCACAGGGCCAGAAACAGCTGCTTTGTCTGGCGCGCGCTATTCTATCCCGCCCAAAGATTCTCATCCTCGATGAAGCTACCTCCGCGGTGGACATGGAGACAGATATCCTGATCCAGCGATCCATTCGGGAGGCATTCACGAACACTACACTGCTAGTGATTGCACACCGTCTCAGCACCGTCGCAGACTTTGACCGTATTCTGGTCATGAAGGACGGTGTTGCGGCAGAGTTTGGAAGCCCTGCAGAGTTGGTAGAGACAGAGGATGGCATCTTCCAGGATATGGTCAATAAAAGTGGGGAGACGGAGGAGTTGAGACGGATGATTTTGGGGTCATAAACCATGAGCATTTACGTTTAGATTGTTGATGCTTGCCACTCCTTAGATTTCGTCGTGCATTTAGTAAGCTACCATTGAAGTTCTTGTTTGCATTAACAAAAAGAAAAATTACATTTACAGTTCAAATTACTTGTCCTAGTAGATCCTGCTGTGAACTGTGTCACTCATTTGAATACATTTCCCAAAACCGTCGCATTTACATCTTAGTTGTATTTGGAGTCCCCGAGTGTAGGACACAACACATCTTCGCCCAACGGCTTAGCTACTTGTACGATTCCCCTCCACCCTAGGAACAAACTTCAAGTACAGCGACGGGAGCAGAGCACCCATGTACTCCTTCGTTCCTTGAACAAACTTATCCTCATCATACTGATCCCTTGGCAAGATACTGCTGCACGCTTGGGTCCGGGCAGGGAAGCGAGCAGGGAGAAATATAGCCGATGGATCACTGTCCATGCTATTGCTGTGGAGAGGAAGACAAGGTTGAGCCATGCAATATTGGGTGGTGTAGGGATGTCGGTTGAAATGCTAGTTCTCAGTGACCAGGCTACAGCTACAAGGTTCACGAGAACGTAGATGCTTAGTATCTTTATAGTTGAGACTTCGGGAATCGGAGATAAGAAGGTTAGTACGGTTATAGCTGCCGCTGCTGTCGCTAGTCCCGCAGTTGCCATTGTGAGATGCATGAAGCGTAGCTTCCCTGTGACGTCTCAGCTGCTTGCTAGTCGAGATACAGGTTATGAAACCTGTTGGAGATGAACTTGGTCATGCCCAGGTCTCTTCGATCAGCACAAATAGCTTCCCGCGGAAGCCAGACGCATTAAGGGGGGCCCATAGACTTGAAAGTGTAACCTTTGCATAATCGAAGGGAACACGAAAAAGGTAAGGGCTTGTGCTGATGACTAAATTGTGCGCTGTCGCTGTCCCTTGCTTAAGATCGAAAGTGGTACCGAACCTCTGGAACTGTGCACCTGATAGGGCTTCCTTAACTTGTACACTACGTCATCTCGAATGTTCCGTCAAGGTGCCACAAAGTCGATGTCAGGTGGCTACTGTGCTCCTTAAAGATGCGGCATTCTCGGACGAGTACAGAATCTCGAGCTGCTGCCATCTCATTGACATAATAAAAAGGTTACGAGGATACACGCGGGATGCTCAGTTTGGGTATGGTATGTCATCTCCCTTGCGTGGTTAGAGCAACTAATAAGGGCTAATAATGACGTACCGGGGTTGAGATAGCATAGAGTGGATTGGACCGACTCAGTATAAGATATGTGTGTCGATTGATTAAGAAGTCTCTTGGTAGATACCAATTAGTGTCATTGGCAAAGAATTATCGTAGGTTTTTCTCCCCCATCAACTATCAGAGTTTTGCCAACTCAGCTGGATGTGTTCTCGCAACACGGGAATATATCTGCGATGGGCAATCTACACACTCCATAGGCTAAGGATTCTGATCGTCTTGTTTCACAAACTTACATTCCAGAGTATGTTCCTCAAGTGAGTTCGATGATAAAGTGTCAAGACGAAGGGTCAAAGATATATGGATCCGATCTAACTAGATCTCAAGAAGATGGTTGGTGGTTTGGTTGTTTGGAAGAGGTGGTGGTCAGAGGCCACTCGAGAAGAAGAGGCGAAGGATCAGCTGACAGCTGCCTGGCTGCAGGTGAATGTCTCAACATCAAGTGTCCCGACATCATAGAATATGCACATAAGAGGGTAAAGTCACCCTTGTCTGGCCCTACGCGACCTTCAGCTATAAAAAGGACACGGAACCACATTGGACCCTCACCTCCTGATCTCCAATCTTACGAATATCTCACTTTTACGAGATGAAGATTGACTTTTTCTCCGCTCTATCCAAGCCAGGATACGAGTGCCTCGATTTCGACGATACAAGCCAACTAAGCCAGCAGCAGAGGCAGGAAGTACTTCCATATGTATGCAAAGGTCTGTTTCTACTGCTTGCAGCAATCGACTACAAGTACAGCCGCATACCAGCCGACAAGCGCCTGCGTCATGACTTGTATACCTGGGCTCAAGACAACCTTGGACACCAGTTTCCCCAAGGAGGACAATCCCTAGAAGCAATAGTGCAACTCGCCGCCGAATCAGCAGAATACTTTTACGCTCATTGCTCGCATGAGACAAAGCTCATAATGGCCATCGGGACCTCTATCATGACCTTAACCGATGATGATGAGCTCCTCGATCCAGATGAACGCAATCGCTTGTCATCCTTCTGCTGTAATGACGGCCACAGCCCACCGGACGCAACTCCCTGGACTGCCATGCTCACTCATGGCTTACAGTTAAACGCCGAGTACCTTGGTTCTCATGACCCACTAGTTGGGGGCCTTATGGCAAATTCATATCGGTTGTTCGTCGAGGCCTGCTCAATTGAATACCGCATGCAGAGTGAAATGCCTTTTCATCTCACCAGTCACACTGGGCCACACCCAATTGACGAAGAGTGTGCCGTTGAAGCATTCCCTCGGAACATTCGTTCTACATCCGGTGCTCCTCTCTTCTACATATGTCCAATATTCAAAATATCTAGCACCCAGGAAGTCCCCTACAAATACTGGATAAGCCTGGTTCCCAAGGTTTCTGAATTTATTAGTCACCTAAATGATGTCTTCTCGTGTCCGAAGGAGATTCTGTCGGGCGAGACGTGGAACTACCTGTCACTGAGGACAAGAACCAAACGACAAGCAGGGAGATCCTCTAGGTTCGGTTCGAAGTTATGGACATTCCGTGACAGCTTCTGCGAATTACTTGAGAATATGCAGGATACTACCCTCGCCGTAGATAGGGCTTTCACGAGTTGCATTTCCGCTGATGCTAATACATCGGAACAGAGTGGTAGCAGTCAAGATGATCCAAATGCAAAATTAGCCGCAGAATGCTGGTTCGCTTTTCGGCAGAACTACATTTCTTGGCATTTGCAGTGCAAAAGGTACGGTTTGGATGGCCTTGATGTTGAAAGAAACACTTACACAGCTGAAGAATTGTGTGCACCGGAGTATAAGCCACTACATCTTGCTTATGCTGGTGCGGCGGCTGCTTTCGTTTTGGTTACTTCTGCGTTAAGTTATAGCTATTCTTTTATCTAGAGCGCTCGTAGATTGTACCAATGTTCATATGCCTCGCTCTTTGATAGAGACGGACCTGGCACATCATATCGGTAGAAGAAAAGAATATCACAGTCCAACAATCCATCAGAGAAGATATGCTATTGCCATGCTTAAGAAGGGGAACAAGGTGCATACTGCACTCTTAGAAGCAGAGCTGGTATATTGCACCGATACAACCGTAGATGTACCAGAGGCATACACAGATGCAGTGTGACTTCCTGCAACACTTCCAAGGGTAGGGCGATTGAGCCCGATACTAGGAGACGGGACACCCAAATAATGAGATACACTACTCCAAGAGCCAACGTTAAGACTGCTGTGGGCGACTGATCCGGCACTGGAAACAGTCGAGGGCGAGACGTGAGGGGATGATCCAGGACTACCGGGTCTGTCGGGGTGAGTGGAGTCACCATTGCTGGAGGATGGCGAGGACGATCCCTCTCCGGTCGATCCTTGAGACTCGGCGCTGACCCCAATTTGGCCGTCTGCATCAGCACCGGATGCAATGGTAGATCCACCTGACCCCCCTTGCTGGGGACTGTGTGGCCCGAGTAATGCCGAGCCTACTTTTCTGGTAGGTGAAAATTGCGGTATTTCGCTGGCAGTGGGGGTCGTGGTTGTGGTTATCTGAACGGCGGCCGTGGTGAGGTGGGTTTTCGTTCCCTTTATGATCGTGTATACCTCTGTCGTGTAGAGAACGACTGTAATGATCGACGCTGAGGATTTACCTCCGGAAGGAGTAACTTGAGCACCTGAATTGTCTGCAGCAGTTTCAACAGCTGCTGATGTGATGAGAGTAACTGATGCTACTGCGGTTTCTGTCGCGGGATACGTCGTTCGCTCTGCATCAGCACAGGTAGTGGAAGACGATGGACAAGCTGTGATCGGGTGGACACGGGTTGTGTAGCCCGTCGATGTACTGAGTCTTTCACTGCTCTGTCCGATAGATCCTTCCCCGATAGCTGTCGCTTGGCCAGAGGCATGCGTGCTCGTCTCCTCTGCAGCAACTGGGCCAATAGTTGTGTATGCAGCGATTGTATCTGTCGTGTAGTAGGTGGTCTTCTCAGATGCTACGCAGTGCGGACTTTCTTGTGGACACCCAGACATGGTATGCACCTTGGTAGTGAAAACAGTGGATGTAGCGAGGGCCTGAGGCTGTTTAGTACTCACTCCCCCGCTGCTGGATGTTTGTGCTGGGATGGCATATGCATCAGTTATTTCTGGGGTAACAGGGCAGATAGTAGTATAGAGGGGAATAATCTCTGTTGTTTAGCTGGTTGTCTTGTAGGAGGCAGGACAGTTTGAGACCCATGGAGGGCAGGCGGTAATAGTGTACACCTTTGTGGTGAAGACAGTTGAAGTTGTCATCTTTGGTGCGGCAGGTGAGGTAACATCTGCTGGTTGTAGAGTGGAAGCCGTTTTGGTAGCCTTCAGAGGACAGATCGTAGTCATTGAGGTGAGGGTTACAGTGGTAAATATGGTCGTAGTACGCCGGGCTGACGTAGGGATACTCTGACTGGAAACCGTGGGAATGTTGCTGGTAGAGCTTTGAGAAATAAAAGAATTGAAAAGAAGCGGCAATGACGCAGAGGATGAATGAAAGACAGGAGAAGAAGACGATTGCACTGGTATGAGTGCCGAGGAGCTCTTCAAGGGGACAGAAACTGGGACTTTTGAGTATACAGCAGAGGAGTCGAGAGAAGGAGAGCTCCTGGAGCTTGAGACCGGGGACGTTCGTATTAACGGGACCGATGAAGTAAACGATTTCGATGTCACAGGAGATGAAGAGGCGCTTGAAAGAGTGGAAGGTGAAGCAGTTAATGCAGATGGCACGACTGGCGTATATTTGTCTATAGGTCTTGATGATGTCAATATGGCCGATGAGGACGCAAGTGTCGACGAGGATAGGATTGTGGAAGAGGTTGTAACAACAGTAGAAGTCGCAACTGCACAAGGATTGTCATCTAGCCGAAGGGCAATATAGTCGACAACATTGTTATCTGGGTCGCTGTAGTCGTACGGCACGTAGGAATGGTCGATAGCACCACTTTCTGAGTAACAGATACCCAGAAACCAGAACGTTCCTATACAGTTCGAATAGGTAGAGCAGACCTCGATGCAGCCCCAGATGTCGTCTTGTCTGGAGTTGGAAAGAGTTCCCGAATAGCTTTGCACGGTGTCGCTGCAGAGAACTTGGTAATACTCCTCATTGTATACGTAGTATCCGTCGACGCAGTCTGTGGTGGTAGGAAAAGTCGAGACAGTGCATGTCGAAGCCGTTGATGTGGCAACACTGGATGTAGTGCTAGTGGAAGCGACAGAAGCACTCGTCGACAATGTAATTGTCGATGTGTAAGTTGTTGTATATTCCATCACCGTTGTCCCGGTTGACAGCTGAGTAGAAGCGCCTGTTACAGTGACGACGCAAGGGTTGGTTGAAAAACGTTCAATTGCGGCCCAATGAGACGAAGTGACTTCCACTGTGGACGTGATGTCTGTGAGCAGCACACACTCATTATTATCATCCCAATTGAGACCTTGGCAGCTCGAATAGATGCCACAAAACACGAAGCATTCGTAAGGGCTGGTTGCTCCATGAATGGTCATAAATGGTGCTCCTTCCAAAGCTGAATCTGAGCACCATTCTTGCCAGTAGGAACCTTCCGCCGACCATATCGAATTACTACATGACTCTGGAGCAACGCTACCAGGAGTACATGTGGTTTCAACGGTCGTCACTGGGAGAACCCCTGTAACAGTGCTGGTCACCGTATCGGAGTAAGTAGACGTTACAGTAAGAACCGAAGTGGGTGCAACTGTTACGTATGGTAGCCATTTTGTTGTCAACAATTGCCCCATGATAGAAATATTTACAAATGAGCGACTGAAGCAAAGTGATCAAATGAATGACGGGTGAAAATCGACACAGCTCCTACTGCTGACCCATTGGAAAAATTGGAACAAAGACGTGAGCTGATGGACGAACTAAAGCAGGAGGAATAGCCAGGTTTTTGGACCTCGAAAACGTAGATATACCTGCTGGCGGTCTGCGCCACCGGGGCTTCTAGCCGAGAAGTACTGGTAATCATTGGTAGGCTTTCCAGATACTATCTACTAGCGCTTGCTAGCCGCGGGTTCGCCCGGGAAATTATAGGCGATAACGAGGGCTGAGGCTGACCCGCATCACCAGAGCAGTGGATCCATCCCCAGGTCTAATAAAGGGAGGAAGAAAGAGCCGATGACTAGAGCCATACGATTGGATAAACTCAATGCATGTGCAGCAGCCTATTCAGACTTTTTACAGAAGCTCGTATATCTATCTTCTAGGTCCACCCCATATTCGAAGTCTGGAGCGAATCCTCACTGTTCTAGTTGTGTTCTGATGACATTTGGAATTTCCAAACTTGCTTTTCTTGACCGGAAGTATCTATGCTCATGCTTTTCCATCACAATGGTTCCGGGACTCAATATTAGGGCACTGAGATTGTGGATGTTCGATAGCGACACGACGTCTTCTCCATTACAGCTACCCCTGGCGACGGACTAACTCAAATGGTCAGAGATTCGAGGGGTTGACTTGTTTTGATTCCTCAAGAGAAGTTCTTTTCTGGAAAACCGCCTCGGCTTTTGATAGGCAGACGGTAGTTGAGCTGGTCTAGACTTGCGCTGCGAGCATCTCAATATTATCCATAGACAACCCGCCGTCACGGCCTCAGATGCTTCTCTGGATATCATTTCTTTCGTTGGCTGGAGTTGACAGGCGTATCTCTTGCACACAAAACTTCTGAGAAAAGCGTCTTCGTCTTGGAAGAATGGACGTCTGGAACAAGGGCTCTTTGACATTCGTGTCCCATGTCTCTGTCCCATATAGTCATCAATAGCACGATATGGTATCACATCCTCATCCTTTTTGGGGACCTCTGTTATTGCAGAAACTGTCGTCTAGCGACATCACACTTGAAAATGAAAGAGAAAAAAAGAAGTGAAACATCACTTGAGATGCTCGCGCGGATTGGCGTGCCCAACATGCGAGTTGTGGTTTTCGTAGAATGAGATCTCCAAACCATATCCAGTAACCCGATGCAGTTCCGCTAACTGCACAGCCACGGACCTATCCTCTTGGGGCCATCGGATAAGATTCCAATTCTCCCTGTGCCTTCGGAGTACATATACGGGAAGAACGGTCTGGTCCTTGTGCGCCGTGTCGTAGTTGTAGTTGTCGCGATTGACATCAACGTTGACAAAAATCCGCCATACTTGGATAGCGAGAAACAAGTTACAGTTGTCCTGTTTCCAGTCCAGGAAAACTTCACCAACAATTCTGTAAGCAGTGTCCCGGCAGTGCTCCGACCCTTCTGATTTTATTCTGATGATGATGCATTTGGCATTGTCTTTGAGTATCTCATCGCGGATATCAGGAAGATTGGGCATGATCCTTACGCTAAGACGACGTAAATATTAAATTATGTTGGAAACAAAATGCAAGTGAAAGTGAGAAGAACAACGTAAAAGGAAAGGAGATAAAAGCAAACCGCTTATTTATACCTCAGGCATCCAAATGGTAATGGCGACCGTGGTGAATTGATGCACCATCTTCCTACTGGCGTCTGCGCCTCGCGTGCTTAAGATACATCTTCCATATCCCCCAATGTGTTCTTCAAGGATCGATCGTGAGAATTATCTAATACAGGGCCTTGCACTCAAAGTTGGCCGCATCATCAATGTCTCCTGATCCCACGTACTGCGCCAGCTTGGGATACGCGCATATCGGCCTTTGTTTGTCGATAGTGTTCGAGGTATACTCAATGCTACTATTGAAGCGAGATCCGATAATGTAGTCAGGTGCAGTACCATTCTCAACCCAATTGATCAAAGCTAGAAAGATGTCGTGCTTAGCATCTCGGTAGCCGGGGACACTGTAAAGGGACGGGCTCAGCGTGCTCGCCTGCGTGGGCCCGGCGATATACCACGGTGCGCCCATGGTGGATGGTGTGTGGTAGCAATGTCTGGAGTTGTTAGCTTGTGATTTCGTATTGGTCTTGTGTAAACTTACTCCATCCCAGGAATAGCGAAGAAGCGATAGAAGTCGTCGATATCAATACCCTGTGGCGCTAGTGTGGCAGCCATGTGGTCGCGGTAATAGAGGCCAATGCCGGGGGGTACAATGGCGTCGGAATGACCATGGTAGTGAATGAGCTTCCCTCCGTGGTGGTAGAACTCGGCCAGGTCATAGTTGTCAGCGGATGAATCGCCCGGGTCGGTCTTATCGGCGTACTGCACCACGCTATAATCGAAGTCTTGTACAGTGAAGTTGGCGAGGCCGAGGATATGTTGAGGATACCACAGCTGCGAGTCTTCGTTGCCAACACTGCCGTTGCCGATGACGCCGCTCTCATTCCACATTGCTTCGCTTCCGTATAGCGGATGTGTGTACACGAAAGTCTGATTGGTTTCCACCCAGTCATTGTAGATCTTATGCAGTGTCTCTATCTGAGGTCCTGTCAAGCAACTGGTGTTCTTTGCCTCGGTACAGAGTAATGGCAGGTAGTCGAAATGACAGCCTAGTGGATCAGAAATGATGCTGTCGACCAGTCCGTCCTGAGGATCGCACTGACGAATTGCCTCTGCTCCGATGACGGCAAACATCTCCATTGGGATTGTATGAGCTGATCCCTGAGGTGCCTGATAGGTTGTCTGCTTAAGATTGTACAGCTGCTGGTGGGTTGTCCACCATGCCGGGCAGGCAGCAATCACTCCGTCATAATCCCGAGGAAACTTCTGTGTTTCTTTCATGGCTTGGCGCCCACCGGTGGAGCAGCCGGCGAAGTAGCTGTATTTGGGCTTTTTACCATAGAAGCTCTCGACGAGGAACTTGCCCAGTACACTAGTGAGATGGTTGGCACGCCAGGCCCAGTCGTTGATCGACTCTGGGTTCTTCCACCAGACTCCATCCATGTCAGAGCCCGTGTGGCCCGTGTCAGTGGCTACAGAGGCGAAGCCATAACGAAGTCCAACGGCCTGGTGATGGAAATTAGTCTATAATCCAATGGTATATAAAGCAACATCTGATACATACCATATCAACCCAATTGATGTCTTCACCTTCCTGCGCAGCATGGCTTTGCTTTCAGTCAACGCAGGATGTCCTTTGGGCAGGGTCAGAGTCACTTACAAGAACCTTTCATTCCACGTATCAGGCAGGAAGACGCCAAAGCTGAAGTATGTGTCGACATCCGTCGTCGCATTGACCTGAATTGCACACACTGCTGGCAGTTGAGTGGGATTGGTAACGGAGCTGATGTTGGGATTCACAAAAGTCGAATTCTCTGCATAGTGACGGGCGTAAACTACACGCGCGGCGGTACCATTGGCGTCCAAGAAGGCTTGAAAAGTTCCAATGGAACAGTCATTACTACCCAAGGCGAGGGAGAAGAGTGTGAGAAGCGAAGTGACAAGATACAGGAAACGGAGTGTCATGGCCATTACTCATGCAATAACCAAGGTTTCAGATGATCTGATGGTTGGGGATTATCACCATTTGTCGAACAATTTATATATCCGGTTCTCCTTGCTGTGGCGACACTTTTTCCCTCATTGTTGGCATCGCGACTAGTATATCGGCCCATTCCCGACTTGCGGGCATATGCGGGGGAAATTCTGCATGACGGAAACGAATGCATGATCCTGTTGGATGTTTGCCCGCAAAATGAGGGCCTCTGCGGCCGCCAACTTGCGGAGTCTTTCCCTCATTAGGATTTACAAATCAACCGTGCGGACGTGGACAAGATATAAGGCAACAATTGGAACGGGAAAGCAATAGCTGCCAGGCATCTTAATCCACAACAATCACTGCAGAATGAGGTATTCCCCGCTCAGGATGGCTGCAATGGCGTCACTGCTACTGCTAGTTCTCCCAGCCGTGGCTAAAGCTTCATCCGCTCCAACTAGCCTTTTGTTTGAGAATGACGGAAATTGGACTGCTCATGCAGAGCGACCAAGTGCTCTTCTAATGCATACACCTGCCCGGCGTGGTCAGGCAGAATCTATCTGTGCCGAATATGAGGAGCAATTGCTGCGCTGCGATGACGTGCACCATTTCCGGCAGTCCTTCCAGTACCAGCAGTATCTAGGTACTCTACCTGAGGAGACGCTGCTCTGGACTGCTTGCAGTACACCAGTCACACTCTCCGGTAGCTCTTCCGCCGGAAATGTATCTTCGGATGGAGAGTGGCCTTTTGTCTGCACAAACTCGGCTCCACTGGTTGACCGTGTCGACATCGACTACTCCCCCTTCCCTCGGGTCAATGCCACGGCAGGAAACATCACCTTCGAGGGTCTCCGAGATCATTTGACATTTAGATTTGCCGGTATTCCGTTTGCGCAGCCGCCAATTGGCACACGCCGTTTCAAGTATGCCGAAGCCTGGGATGCGACCAATGTGACTTACGTCAATGCAACACAATACAGCCCAGCCTGTCTGCAATTTGGGTACTTTGATGGAAATAGCTATGGCTTGAACCCTTGGGGTAATGATGAAGACTGTCTGTACTTAAATGTATATACCCCCTTCCTTCCGGGCGATGCGGACGTGCCCGAGGACCAACTGAAGCCTGTTCTCTTTTGGATCCACGGCGGCGGCTTCTCCCAGGGCACCGGCTCGGACCTAACCTTCGATGGAGGAAGTCTAACTTCGCGCTCTGATGTGGTCATTGTCACCTCGAACTACCGACTGAATATCTTCGGGTACTTATCACTCGACGATGGCACCATCCCTGGGAACTACTGGATGTCTGATAATATCGCTGCTCTCCAGTGGGTGCAAAAATATGTGCGCGGGTTCGGGGGAAATCCAAAGAATGTCACCATTTTCGGACAGTCAGCTGGTGGTGCCAACTGCATCGAGCTCGTTGCTTCTCCACAGGCTGCTGGTCTTTTTCAGGGTAGTATACAACAGTCGGCAGGCAACGGTCGCTTTAGCACACAGAGCGCAATAGCTGAGCTAGCTGAGCCCTACCTCAGCCCGTACTGCAATGACACCGGAGTTGCCCGCCTAGCCTGTTTGCAGCAACTGCCTGCTTCAGTGCTCCTCAACACCAGTGCCGACATATTCTTCACTCCAGTCATCGACAATGTGTATCTACCTGATGCACCCATGGCACTGATCGCCCAAGGAAGCTCTTACATCAATTCCGTACGGATGATGTCCACCCTTATGCCCGAGGAGACTCAATCGCTGACCACTACCACGCTGACGCCTAATATGACCGATTTTCAGACCGCGCTCGACCTGCTCATCCCAGGAGGCTGGATTAATCAGAAACAGGCAGATCACATCATACCCTCAGGCCTGTGGCTTATTAGTAACGAGACCTTCCACAATGGTTCAACCTCCTACTCCAGCGTATACAATGCTAGCATAAAGATATCCACAGAAAACAACCAAGAATGTCCGAATGGCGCCTACGCCATGGTAGGTGCCGCCACGGTCGCTTTCCCCAGCATGCACGTCGCCTATCATCAGCGCGGATACGCTCTCTCTTATTACGACTTTTACGACCTCTGTACGTTCCCTGTTGGAAAGCCAAACACACCTTATTATCGGTGTCATTCTAGTGATTTGTATGAGGTATTCGGGACTTACTACATTTTCGATCAGCCGATCCGGGTTCCTGAAGATATTTACTACACCAATGCGGTGCAGGACATGTGGGGTTCCTTTGCGCGAACGGGTAATCCCAATGTTGACAGTGACTATCTGGTAGCGCGGGGGTACAACACAACCATAGAGTTCTTTGCAGGTTGGCATTGGCCGGAATTTACAGCGTCGAATATGGTCCTGGCTGATTTGCAGTATCCGCGGCCGGGGTATACGGATGTACCGGATCTGGAGCATTGCAGGTATTTGGCCAGTGTGCAGTATTGACCCAGCGGAAAGTCACATGTCCATACAATATGCAATATGGATCTCGACTAGGCATGCAGTTCGCTGTGAAACAGTCCACGGCTTGGGAGGCTACAGAATGACAGGAATGTTAGCCACTGGCACCGGTACCTTAGCCACATAATATTTACCTACCAAGGTTATGCGTTGCATTACTCAAGCAAAATACCTTACTGCCTACTGCTATAAACATCTGGGGATGTGGCCAGAAGTCATGTATGTCCATGCTGGAATCATTACTGGACATAGCCATCCTTCCTTCTCCAAATCATAGATATACTATGCCCCCTTTAACAATGCGCCCCCGTCACTCTCTACTCTTTTTCCTGTTACAAAACCATCTTTCATACACCAAACATACGCCTCTGCAACATCCTCCGGCCTCCCCACCTCCCCCGTCAACGTTCCCTTTCTAAACGCTTCTAGATATGCTTCCCTCGCAGGGCCCAGTCTCTCGAAGACCTCCGTCTCAACAGCACCTGGGGCAACCACATTCACCCTGATGGGTGCCAACTCCACCGCCAATCCCCTAGTCAAGCCCTCAAGCGCTGATCCCACTGCCGCACCACCCACCGCTAACCCTGCCGCTGGTCTTGCGGCCATTAGCCCCGAGGTAAAGCTTATTGAGGAGGTATGATTATCAACCAAGTATTTCTTTGCAAATTTGCCCAGTAACATCGGGGCATGTAGCCGGAGGGTGCTCAAGGCTGCGAAACTGATTGCGTTAATTTCGGGTGAGGAGATGGGGATCCGCGGGGGCGGGGTGCCGGCCGTGTAGATTATATGGTTCAGCAAAACTCGTTCACTGCTATCATTATATTTGGTGGGAGACGCTATATTAGGAAAGAGAGAACGTGATGTAGCGTAGTCGAGAAGGTCAAGAAGGTTCTTTTCCAGAGTGGCTTGATCGCTTAGGTCGCAGGGTTTTCCAGTGACGCGGTCGGTGTAGACCTTGTTGGGGTAGAGATTTTGAAGACGAGAGACAGTAGATGATACTTTCTGGGGGTTTGAGCTGGATATGATGATGCTGGCGCCGTGTTCCAGGGCTGCACGGGCAACGGCGAAGCCGATGCCGGAGGTGCCACCGATTATCAAGACTCGGGTGTTGGCGAGCTTGTTTATGGAGATGAGGCTGGGGGTGGCCATTTTGCTGTATGGCGCAAATCCATTGACTCAACTAAAACCATATGATGTATATCAATATCTGAGGGTTTTATATGCCATGAAGGTATGACAGGCATATCAGCGGGACTCGGGCTCTTTTTCGCGGAGCTTGTATGAGACCGGGACGCGGTACGAAATGCAGAGTAACCCCAGCGTCGCCAATGTTGCACGAACATTGACCGCGGAAGGAGACTTTCTCATCGCCCGCCTCAGTACAATACCTGTTTCAGACCCGGAGGGTATTGATAATCTAGTGCTGCTGGACTCACCATCAGCCATGTTTCCAAATACGCTGACTGGCGCCATGGGGCTAACTTTCGATGTGGATTCGATTTACAGCTTCGAGCCTCTACTTCTTCGACGACTAGCAGTGCGCCAGGGGACTTGAAGACGGCCTGCTTGAAAGTTTGTGGGAGATTCTTTACTGCTTTTTCGTATTCTCTATGTCTGATATGGATGTGTTATTCGAAATAAAACCTGAACGGTTCAAAGGTTACAGCAGGACATTTGTATGTTCTACATCCATTCATGCCCACCTTGATCTCACCGGTCTTCACGCAGGGATAGAATAGAGAAAGGGCAACCTGATGTGAATTTTGTGGGCCTTGATTGGTGCAGCCGTAAAGGATGCGAGTTTCCGGCAATGCGGAAAGGAGATGCCGGAGATAAGTTGTGGAGGCCGTTGGAGAGAGGATTGCTGATGCTGACATCAGCTTCAACCACGCTGGGCTCAGGCCGGTCGTTCAAAATTAAGATTTTCATAATCGGAAGCACCTTGTACTTGCTAGCTTTAGAAGCAAAACAGGGTGGAACATCAGAGCGGATGTGCATTGATGATTGACGATTGACCAATCCCGTCGCCCAGAAGGTCCGGAGGACTTCCAAATCGGGCAATCCAGAAAGCACCAGGTCTGACACCAAGTCAATGACTTCGATAACTCCACTCTGACGGTGACCTGGACCATGCCTTAGGCTGATTACCCGTCTTACAGACCCTGAGACGTCCTGCTCGTAAGCGGGTATGACGAATCCATTTTCCTAGACGCTTGGGCTCCGTATGGGGTTATCTCTGGGCTAAATGCTGAGTATTCTTTCCGGCACCCGCGGTACTACTCCTCGTCTACAACCCCATAAGCCAACGGGTACAATAGACGCCAGACACTTCATTGCATGTCACTTAATCTACAATAAGCAATGGACGAAAGCAATACAAAGTACTCACCAAGTCATCGCTACTCATTCTCCTCCTGCAACATGCTAATCAACCCCCACACCTTCCCTTCTATCTCGCCAACTGCTCTATCCAACCTTTCCTTTCTCTCCACATCCACCTTCCCGCTTGCATCACCCGCATAAATCCCCGCCAACCCCGCCAACGGCAACACTATCACCATCGTCGCACTCCCATCCTCTTCCTCCACGAACCCACAATCCAGGGGTACATGCGTGCCTGCATATATACTCTCCTTGATCATCGCGGCCGCCAGGAGCGGGTTGCCAAAGAGGAAGCGATGGACACGTCGACCTGTTCCTGATTCAGACTCCGATTCCTCGGTGGGTGGTAGGAAGTGGTGTAGCCACGACCCGTGGTCGAACTCAGCAAAGCATACGAAGTCGGATGGCGTGTTCGTGGACTTAATTAATTTGATTATTGCCTCGGCATTGGGTTGGGTGCGGAGGATGCCCGGGGGTTGGAGTGCGGGTACGAGGGCACGGAAACGGTTGAGGATCTTGGGGTAGGGGGTGGGAAAGTGTACGGTTATATGGTTAGCTTTGAAGGTTGAGATGTTTGAGGCTTTGGGCAAGGATACTGGTGCAGTTGACATGATGAGTCGTGATGAAGTTAGTGGCAGTGAGATGATAAGGTTGCATTATTGAGGGGAAATGGAGAAGGATTCACACGTGATTGGCTTGGATATCGTGCAGTAATGTGGCGCTTAGCTGATTTTGTGAAAGTCTGTCTAGAATGATTTGTTCAAGCGCTATATTACCCCAGTCGGATTGCTGATATGCTAATGACAGTGACCGGCCTCGAATCAAATAGCTTGCTGTTACCATCGGATCTGATGCGTATGATCTATTCAAGCATTTGTCAGTACACAGCACCGGAATCTCTACGTCTACTCACTGCACGACGGTCTATTATCTACCTCACAATTTTTATCCTATAAACTATTCAGATTCAATTGACAAGCCGCCTACTCCCTGCTAAACTTTGACAGTGTCACAGACTCGCAGTCGTGTTCCGGGTATTGTCCTGACGATCGTTGGCGGGTCCAAATTTCGGGCACCCGCAGTCCCACCGTGCCAGATCTTTAATCATTTTCCTGAATATCGGAGATAGCGGCTAGAGATGGCCAGATATAGAGAAAGAAACCGAATTAGCATCGGCGATGCTATACCACCGGACAATGGATAATGAACCATCGGCTTGAGATTCCTTTTGCGGGCAACAAGACCGAGCTTGCCGCGACGACACATTCAGCTTCTGCACGGCTGGTAGAGGTGGTTTAACCTCTGATTTGGTAAAGGATCTGCGTATCCCTGGTTACTTAATTACTCTCTTGTGACCCCATGATGTAGTTAGCCCTGTCTGCTTCCACTGGTGCTGATGCTAACGGGTTTCAATTTACGATCAGACAATGCCTCGTCATGGAGTGCGTAAAGATGCCCACTTTGTTCCTGTTTCGAAGTAGATCATTGTACCTGCATAGGGCAGGGCCACGTATTACCTTTAACCTTAATTAAGGAGGTCGCTTATACTATAATCCAAATAACGTTGCGAAGTGTATATAACTTTGAGATCGTCCTCTCCTTCGAATTAGTTCTCCACGCGCTTTCTGAGCCATCGACCAATTCCCTCTTCTTTCAATCTTCCTCGTTAGTAATACCGGCCACACCATGAGAATTCACCCCTCCTTCCTAGGCACTCTTGCCCTCAGCGCGAGCACCCTAGCATCCGCCGAGCTCAACGTCCGCACGGTCTACCAATTCGCTTCCAACGACACCTGGCTCGAGAACCTAGCCGTCCGATCCAACGGCCTCATCCTCGCAACCGAGATCGGGCCCCCAGCAAGCCTCCTCTCCTTCGACCCGCGCTCCTCATCCCCAAAGAAGAACGTCATCCACACCTTCCCCAGCGTCCTCGGCCTCTCCGGCATCACCGAAGCAGCCCACGACGTCTTCTACGTTGCCGGCGCCAACACCACCAGCGACAACATCTCAGATCCTCCCAAAAACGCCACGCACATCTGGCGCGTCGACTTCACCGCCAACTCCGATACCCCTGACATCAAGCTCATCGCCCGCCCCACCGCACCAACCGGCTTTAACGGCCTAGCAGCCTTCAACGAGACCATCATCCTCGCCTCGGCCTCCTACCAAGACTCCATCTTCGCCGTCGACACAACAACCGGTTACACCTGGGAAGCCATCAAAGATGCGAACCTGATGAGCAGCATCAACGGACTCCAGGTTCAAGATGATTTCGTCTACTGGACTGCAAACGGTGGCCTTTACAGAGCAGAGCTCTACTCGAATGTGACTGCTGGTCCTGGACAACTTATTGTCCAGTCTACTGCCTTTGACGATTTTGCTGTTGCACCGGATGGGTTCCGTGCTGCGAGTGGAAGGAAGTTTGCGTATGCGGCTACGGCGGCGATGAATACGATCATGCAGATTAGCTTTGACTTGCAGGGTGGGAGGAACCTGACGAGTGTTATTGCCGGCAGTTTGGATTCTACGGAGGTTGCGGAGCCGACGGGGTGTGCGTTTGGGAGAGGCGAGGGCGAGATGGATTGGTTGTATGTTACTACTGGTGGTGCGAGTGCGGTGAATGTGGATGTGGATGGGGTGGAGGTTGCTGTTGGGGCGCAGTTGTTGGGGATTAAGCTTAATTGAGTGGCATAGTAGTTAACGGATGGAAATAGGCGTGAAGTAAGGGCAGTAGAGGATTATCGTGTTACAGAAGGGCCCAGAAGAAATATGTGCAGAGTGAAAGTGCCATCGTTGTCTCAGTGTTGTGGGTGCTAGATGTGTACGGCGCGCAATAGGTGCTGTATTGTAGGCAGTTCGAGCATGCCATAATATATTCTCCGTTCTACCTACATACACTCTTTTGCCTGCTCAATGCTCAATGAGAGAAACCGATGGCTAGAGATACAATCGACATGCCAGTCAGTTATTGTGTGCGGAAATTGGAATCGGTAAGACAGTAAACAATAATAATAGACACCAACGAACGGGGGGAGTTGTCTTGTTTCTACCACAATTAATTGCTTGCTCTTCGAATTTTCCAGCAGCAAAAAGTTGCTGGAGCAGAAGATGTGATTGATGGATAGAAAAATGCAAAAAGAGATGGTCCCAGAGGGGCTCGAACCCTCGACTTTGACGTTATTAGCGTCACGCTCTAACCAACTGAGCTATGGGACCCGGTTGTTGAAAGCGGCCGCTTCAATAGAATAGAAGAGGCACCATAGTGCCCACCGTCCACAAGTGGAGTTGTGGCAGAAAAGCCAGTCCCGACCGCCTTTATCACCGCTCCAACCGGCAGAACCTAGTCAACCTCGTCAGAAAAACCTCGGAGTTAAGCGGACTTAAGGACATACAGCCCCAGAATGGTGCTGTGAGTTTCTGTGTAAATCTTGACCGCCCTGGGGGAATGCGGCAGAAAATGGTGGCTGAGCCTCGTTCTCCAGTACAACACGTGCTGTTCTCGTATCTCTAAATCAGTTTCTCTCTTCGCAATGCCACATAGATAATTGTTTTCTTGGCGCTGTTTTCTTCTTGACACATTTGAGACAAATTTATAGTGGTCGTGGGCAATGACTCCGCAGTACAGTGCTGCTAATCAACTTGAATCATCTTCGATATATTTTTCTCGAGCCACATTTGTTAGCAGTATGGGAGTTCTGTCTGATCTACTAAATTCATCATTTTTATGCCAGTATGAAGCACCGTGATCATACCTCAACAGATAATTGGGGAAATAACAGTGTTTTTCGAAGGATTACTTTTCAAACATCAAGCATTTCTACATCGTATGCAGATTGCCGGGAGCATCGTGCCTGGTGGTTTGTGTATGGTCCGCTTTGACCCGGATTGCGTTATGCGCGGGGTTATTAAGCAATCGACTTGAACCTCACTGCACCTACCGTTCATTTGTTTTGACATCAAAGCCACACATCTATACTATACCAGCAATATGCGGAGCCTGGTGTGCTTGTTAGCCCTGGCTGGGTTTACTGCACAGTCGCTAGGGCAGCAGCAGCAGCAGCCGCTATATGCGACCGCCAAGCCCAATGTTGTCTTCATATTAACCGATGATCAAGACGCGCAACTCGGCTCCTTGGATTACATGCCCTATGTTAAAAAGCATCTACTAGACAAAGGAACACACTATCGCAGCCATTACTGTACAACCAGCGTCTGTTGCCCTTCGCGGGTGACCCTTTGGACAGGGAAACTGGCCCACAATACAAACGTTACGGATGTCAATCCTCCGCATGGTGGGTGTACTACCAATCACCATGTGTACATGAAGATTTTGCTTATACACTCCCAGGTGGTTATCCCAAGTTTATTTCTCAAGGTCTCAATGACAACTATCTGCCTGTCTGGCTACAGGAAGCCGGGTACAATACCTACTACACTGGTAAACTGTTCAACGTCCACACGGTCGACAATTATAACGCCCCCTTCCCAGCTGGGTTTACCGGAAACGTAAGCCAGTATCAATGTCTTACTTAAGTTACTCACTAATGTATCGCGCAGGACTTCCTTCTCGATCCATTTACATACGACTACCTAAACAGTACCTTCCAACGAGACCGAGAACCACCCCAAAGCTACGAAGGAGAATACAGCACCGATGTCCTCGGACAAAAGGCATATCGCCTGCTCGACGAAGCAGTCACGGCTCAAAAGCCCTTCTTTCTCACAGTCGCTCCCATTGCACCGCATTGCAACGTTTTCATGAATGGAACCGGCTTAGATGCCAACCCTAACTTCAGCTTCAGCGCACCTATTCCCGCCAAGCGGCACGAGCACTTATTCCCCGATGTTAAAGTCCCCCGTACCCCCTCCTTCAATCCGGAAAACCCCTCAGGCGCCAACTGGATTAAGACTCTCAAGCGACAGAATGATACTAATGTTGACTACAACGATCATTTTTACCGCCAGCGTCTACGCGCCCTCCAGGCCATTGATGAACTAGTTGATGGCTTATTTACACGCTTGAAGGAATATGATATTCTCGACAACACATATGTAGTCTATAGTAGCGATAATGGCTACCATATTGGTCAACACCGACTCCAGCCGGGCAAGTCGTGTGGATATGAAGAAGACATTAATGTTCCCTTGATCGTTCGTGGTCCCAATGTTGCCCAGAATGTATCTACGGATATTGTTACAACACATACGGACCTTGCACCCACCTTCCTTGATCTGTTAGGTATCCCTCTCCGAGAGGACTTCGATGGCGACCCCATCCCTTTTACAGAGAGCCAGATCGAGGAGGCCCATGACGAGAGACAAGAGCATGTCACAGTTGAATATTGGGGATATGCAGCGGGAGAGGGTATATATGACTGTGCGTACCCTACTCACACCCTTCACTCTTTGACTGTGCATGTGCTAATCAGGACACTGAAAGTTGACCTATCGGCATACAACAACACATACAAAGCTCTCCGCATCAGAGGTAATGAATATAACCTCTACTACTCTGTTTGGTGTAACAACGAGCATGAACTCTACGATATGACTGTAAGTGATCCCGCCTAATTTATTGCCCTGCGGAATCCAACCAAAGAGACAGAGTGACCCTCATCAACTCCACAACCTCCTTTCTACAAATGGGCTTCCAAATGCGACCTCTCACATCATATTGAACGTTGATCTTTCCAAAGTCGTTCAGCGACTTGACTCCCTTTTACTGGTGCTCAAGTCCTGCAAGGGCCAGGTATGTGTCAAGCCATGGGATGCCTTGCATCCGCGCGGGGAGGTAACGACGTTGAAAGACGCACTGGATGTGCGCTATGATTATTACTACGAGATGGAACAGACAACGCGGGTCCAGTTTGACGAGTGTGCGCGCGGGTATTTTCTGGATGTGGAGGGCCCACAGTTTGGTCAAGGGACTGAATATGGGGTTCTTCGGGATGGATTACCATGGTATGAGTGGGTATGAGTCTGCAGAAGAAGAAGTCTCGAGAGTTATCATTGTTACACATCTGACGACATTTGCCTGCATGGGTTGTGTTGTGTAACGTAAATCATATACTTGATCTGAGTTTTGTGGATACTTATAATATGCGAAATGAGGCAATATCAGGATCTTTCCTCGCGGGAAGCGTTACTTGACGCATATGAGCCTTCTATATTGAGGGTAGCCATCGGGATATTTTGATTTTCGTTTGAATCATCTCCAACAATGTTGTTGACGCGTTGTTTTTGTAGAGCGTCAAGGCCTCAGGCAGCAATTGATATATCCACATGACAAGTCGATTCAGCTAGGAGGTAGAACCTGCATAGCATTGAACTTTGAAGAAAACAGATGCCATTATTGAGACCAAGTTGGCTTAGCCTATACTGCAATACATCATATGAGGAACCTTGAAATATTCTAGGAGATTCATGCCTTGTTCATCTCCATGCCAAGACTGGGGATAGAAGCCGAGTCAGCCCCGTCCGGAACGGTCGGGTAAGCCATCAGGCAGTCCAACGTGTATTCCAAGTGCCTGTGATGGCTGCATTCTCTTAGAAATCCACGCCAGTGCATCTTGTGCAAAAAAAAGGGAGTATATCACGTACATCAGCCCATCTCCGAGATTGTCATTGTCTTCAACAACCCCGGAAAACCGTGCAGGAACCAGGCCTGCTAAGCACGGGAGACAGGAGTGGGTCACCGTTGCGGTGGAGCCCCCGAAGGAGCCGATTTATTATTATTCCAGCCCGTCTGCGAATCTCCCCATTCTCTCCCTTCCCCAACTCCCCATATTCCAGTCGTCAGGAACGCTCGCGACAATGGATTCCGCGATTTCGCCTTTTTGGGGTGCACCAACCTCTTATCTGAAGTATGACTTCGAATCTCCTGTCAATTGACGTGCAAAGTGTAGACTAACCAATGCCAATAGCTTTTGTGAAGAGGTCCGTCTAAAGCAACCGCAATCTGGTCTTTTCTTGGCCTTCAATCCTAGTGGCTGATTTCTCCTTCAGGATTACGTAGTTACGCGATATGTTGCGGAGTTTATCAATACGCTCAGCAGCTTTGTTTACAGTATGTTTACTCTTGTTTAATGGTAGTGCCATTACTGACACGTCTGTTTAGTATTATATGGGATCTACGGTCTCCGGCAGCTCCACAGCAGACACCAAACCGGGTCGCGCTCAATCCTATACTGCGGATTGATTGGCGTCGGTGTCTGCTCTGCTGGTTACCATATGACTTTGAAATATCACACTCAGATGTGTACTGTCACCTTCCCTTTATTCAGCCTACTTGAATCAACCATAGTGATCTGAGCTGACCCTCTTGGAACAGCGGATGAGCTTTCCATGCACCTCCTCACCACTCCGCTTCTCTACCGCATTCTCTCTTTCCAGGCCACACCTCAGTACACGAAGGCTGTAGGAATCGTTCTCTCCGTACTGTTCACGATCGTCATGGTCGTCCACATGGTCATGGACGAGTTCCTGCTCCATGCGGTGACGTTCGGCACCGCTGTCTATTTGATCGCGACTCGCACGCTCAAGATAATTCCTCGGGAGATCCCGGATGTCGAGGATCGCAAGAGGATTCAGAACGTGGCGCTCTTTGGGTGTGGTATGTTACTCGTTATTATTAATGACTTATCAACCGAGGCTATAGCCAACACTAACACTTCTATAGCGAGCTTCATCTTCGGATACCTCGTCTGGCTGGTTGACGAGTGGGTGTGTCAGTCTCTGATTGGAGCCAGACACGCGGTCGGACTGCCCGTGGCATTTTTGCTTGAGTTGCATGGCTGGTATGTAGATCTTTCTTCGTTGTCTGGGACAAGCTTGGGATCTTGCTAATGGCTATACAAGGTGGCATGTCTTTACTGCAATTGGTGGATATATTGCCGTGGCGATTATTGATTTGATTACTTCTGGGCAGCTGCAACGGGACTCGGTTGCACAGCTCGCGTGGCCGTTGCCGACTGTTGCGAGGCTGCTCGGACCGGCTGAGGGAGAGATGAAGCGGAGGTAGAATTGTGCAATTGAATGGTGTTGAGGAGACAGGGAAGAGTACAAGTAACTGAACAGAGGCTTGGGCGGATGGTGCGGGCGAAGTGGTAGAGATATGGATGATTCTTTTGATACTCATAGAACCATAAGCCATTCCGAAAAGTGTTGGTAAAACGTCACAAGTAAGCGAGTGATATGCCCGAAAAGGCAAATACTCTGTATTAGAAACATTCTTGTCTTAGGGTCAAGTACACGGCCTCGAAGCTCAAGGCGGGGTATCATTGTTCTGCGTATGCAGTGATTTACTTTGAAGGTTGTCACTTAGACTTCGAAATACAAATATGAACCCTACAAGCAACATGATATTTGAATTAAATAGACGCCATGAGCCGTGTACGGACTGCAGCCCTTGAGAGGAGTCGGTGAATAGATAGCGATACGATGACTACATTGGAAATCAGCGTCCCCTATGTTTTCGTGGTTGAAACGCTCATGCTTTCTCACAGGCTTCTATCAACTTCTACTACTGGGAACTGTGGCTTTGTATGTAAATGAAATAATCTTTATTCGCAAGTGGAAATCTATGTGTCAGCATAGTCTGGCTCTGGGGAAAAATTCAAGGTGCCAATGATTGAGCTTTTGCCTATCAAAACTAGAGAGCTGGCGGACAGGAGATCAACAGATTGTGGACGAAAGTCAGCTGGGAGAGCCACAATTTTCTTCTCATTGTAAGTCACCCATTTCAGATCCTCTTCAAACGTGTACATTGCCAGGTCTTCCCAGTTTAGCAAGAGCGGCTGTCGGTTTGAGATATTACTGTAGCACAGTAATTTTTTGATCGGTTTTTCCTCTGCCATATCCCATATAAGAATGGTGATAACGTCTCTTGCTGCCAGTCGAGTATCGTCGGGCGCAAAAGTCAGAGAATAAACGGATGTCGAATAGCCAGCATGCTTCGTAAGCACTTCTCCGGTTCTCAGATCTGAGATCTTCACATGCCCCCTTTCACAACCTATCGCGATCTGCTTCCCGCTATGCGAAAAGGCAATGGCTGTAATGTGATCGCACCCAAATTCGATGTCATACTGTGTTGGCTCCTTGCCAAGGCTCCAGACTGTCAGAATTCCGGCTGACGATGATGCCACCATGTCACCGTTTGGTGAGAAAGCAAGTATCTCACTTTTCGGAAGAGGTTTTGGGCTAGCTCGTTCTTCCCTACCCGTAGCGCTGTCGTATACCCGCAAAATGCCATCATTGCCGTGGATGACCACTCTCTTGCTATCTGGCGAAAAAGCAGTAGTCACGCCAAGTAAGGTCTCAAGAAGAATGCTGGGTTTCCATGTTATGGTACTGAACAACTTAAAGTAGCCATTATTATTGACAAAAGCTAGGTATTTGTTGTCTGGCGAGAATGCGGCAAACCGGCCAGTCTCTTCTGTCAGTCTGTGTTGGAGTTTGCCAGTGGCGAGATCCCATATTTCAGACACATCACTGTATCTAGTGAGCATAGCCATTTCCCCACTGGGAGAAAAGAGAGATGTGTGTATACTTCCATACGTATTGATTGGTAACGCTGGTGGTTGGCCCACTTTGCCCAAGCCATGGAGATCCCATATTCGCACTGCTTGCTCGCGTCCTGTTAAGGAGACTAGCTTGCGACCATCAGGGGAGAAGGTAAAACTCCTGACTTCATCAGAGTCACCCTGTAGCCGATGGATAATGTGGCGAGTAGTCAGGTCCCATATTTCTAACGTCCCTGCATATGTGCTCGCTGCCAGCTGGGTGCAATCGGGTGAAAAGGCTATTTCTCCGACATAGCCGAATTCGATTTCTCCAACATAGCCAAATTCGATTTCTATTACCTCCTCAGGTCCCCTTTCTGGATCACATACCAGTACCTTGTTATAATCGATCCTAAGGGCGATCTTTTTGAGACTCGAAGAAAAGACAGCGTGAAACCAGTAATCATCTCTCACCTCCCAGGCGAATATTTCTTCGGTATCACAAACCCCACTGCCACGGGGAATGATCTTACTCAACCTGATACGACCATCTGAGCATGACGCAATGAGCTCGCCGTTGGGTGACAAGATCCATTTTTCAAACTGACCCTCTATAATCTTAGTCACGCCAAACTCAGAGTCCCAGAGGCACACTGCTTTGTTATTGTTTTGGAGGAACGCAACCCTTCTTGAGTCAGGCAATGATTTAATAGCCGCAATATCTCTGACACCGACCGCTATATTTTGTCGTCGATCCAGGTGCCCCGTAACAATATCGAAAGTATTGACAGTTTGATCTTTATAGACTGCCATTACATTCCTGCCATTGGGATAAAATGATACTCCCAAAACTTCTTTCTGCCCAGGACTTAGACCCTGGTCTTGTAGTACTTGCTCCAGTTCGCCAGTGATCAGATTCCAGATCATTACATTACCAAATAGGGTACCAGCTGCGACCTTTGTTGAATCAGGAGAGAAGGTTGCACATCGTGGCTCCCCGCACCGGAGTATACGCTCAGCTTGGCCCCAAGAATCGTGAGTAGTAGACGTAAGTCTTATCCACCGGGGAGACTCTTTCTGATATTGCTTTCGTAGCACACTTGATGGTGGGGAGAAAATAAGGGCAGAATAATAGACCTGAAGCGGAGCCTCGGCAATGTCAATGCCATGATGATTGATGAATTGTCTCCCATCATCAACAAATTCGAGAAGTTCTGGATAGTCCCCAGGCTGCTCATGTCAATATACCTACAGGGAGATGCCGGGGCAGTACTCACGGCAACACGAGTCTTCAGTTCAGTCATCGTGGGACTGGCATGTGACATCCTCCTCGTCAGACTTAGAACCTCTAGCCAGTGGGTGAAATGCTCTTTCAAGAAGTTCATGAGTTGTGTGGTTTCCTTTGTCTGAAAAGAACCCGCACAGTTGATATGGGTACCCCAATACCAACAGGCATACTGGACCTCATGGGGAAGATGCTTGTTGATGATTTCCTGCGATACCTCAACCGCTGTAGTTCCTGGATGTTCAATATTGCAAATATTTCTGCGCAGGCTGCCCTGTTCACGAAGAACATCCATGCATCGATGGAAAAGTGTCTTATTCGCTTCCTTCTCGTCAATGAGGAGGTTCTCATCATCGCATCGATTTGGATCGACAAGAAAGTCACGAAAGGAAAGATGGAAGATTGAAACCTGCGAGTCGTCATCTTCCGGCACAACTAGGACTGACTTTAGGTTTTTGAGTATTATTCTGATGTTTCCGCAGGGTTCTCGGAGAAGCGTGGCAAGATTACGCAGTGAGAGGGCCTCTGGCATGGTGATGACTGACCCAACTACTAGCTGGAACAGAGGAATCAGATATATACTATCTGGACCTCGCTCTGTGATTGCCTGCTTCAGGACGAATTTGTACAATTCATCAATGTCTTTGGTAAGTGAAACATGCTGCTTATTTGTATTGAGCAACAAATCCAAGGTAGCGTCGAGGAACCCAGTAGCCTCAAGCAATCGACAGGCAGTCGCTGCGGCGATGAACAATCGTCCACATCGTTCAATAAGTTTTTCTGCTCGTTCTTTGCCAGGCCACGCTTCCTGGGTCCTGCCTTTAGGCTGCTTTATTAAAGCAATTTCGGAAAGTTTGTCCTCGAGGAAGATACGGATGTCTCGTTCTGTGGTCAGATCTCCAGTACCATCAATCATTACATCATAATAAGTCGTTGAAGGAATCTGTGTGAATCCATCAGCCAGATAATCCTCGGGCCGGCTGGTCACAAAGATCCGTAGCCGAACTTTTTTTAGCGTTCTCGCTGTCGCCAAAAGCTTTACGACGCTCTGAGCATATATACGTCCGTTCTGGCATTCATCCAATGCGTCAATCACAAGGACTAAAACCATCGGATCCGAGAATTTGTCACTCAGCGCAGAAAGTGGCTCAAGAAGGAGACATCGCCATTGTTGATCTAGAGACTGTTGAGCCACACCATGCTTTTGCTGAATGGAATCTTTTAAATGGGTTGCAAAGCCAGGGAGCACATCTGCTAGTTGTCGGGCCAGAGTGGGAAAAAGTCTATCGGGATCTGCTCGATCGGCATTGCTTCTCGAGAAGAAAAATGAGGCGCCAAGAAGAAGCTGGTCATTGAACATCTTGGCCGCAGTCCGAGCAATGGTAGACTTGCCAGTGCCTGCCATGCCTCTAAGCCAAAAGATGCAGTTGTTATCGCCTCCAATTCCCCATCTTTGAATTTCACAGAGAATCTGTTTCCGGGTATCTTCATGGCAGTATGGTGGAGGGGGCATGTCTTTCCTATAAGTATCAAATGCAGCATATTCGGCTTCCCGCAGTCCCCTAATCAAGGCGTCCTGTGTGAGGAGCTAATTGCAATGGTTAACTAGAAGCCCACTGGTACGACTGTTCAACATACCTTGATCTCCTCGTGAGCTTTTCTACTCTCATCCAAAGTTGACTTCAAAGTCTGCCGCAGGCGGGACATCTGATCATCAATGCTTGTGATTATCTTCTGATTGAGCTTTCCCAAATCCAAAGTGATACTATCTTCCGTATTCTTCATACTCGTAAGCATGGCCGTCCAATTGTCTTTCAGAACGGCGTCCCTTAGAAGACGCTTGATGGAAGGACGAGAGTACTGGGCCACCAGCGAAATCTGATACTTTAGAGACTGTGAATAAAGGTTGATCATCTTGTCTTTCACCCGAGAAAGAAGCCTCTGATCTTCAGATGACTGACCCCTAGAGATTAAAGGGGTTGTTTCTATGAGTCGACAACGAACCAAGATGTCAGAGATATCTTTCAGCCCAGCCTTGGCGGTATCAAACTGTGTCAGTGCATTATCTAGCAACTATAATCAAAGGTTAACAGCCTAGTATTTAGCATCAGGGCATAAAGGGCAAGCTTAATCTGTATCTGTGAAAAGTCTCGGCAACGGCGATGTTGCAACAAGTATCGATTGAAGTGACATACCGGGAAAAATCCTGCCACGCAACCCCATGCCAGAGCTGCATGAGGTTCTGCGCTAACGATCGCTGTGATAATATCCTTGAACATCTTGATCGTGCAGAATATCTCAGACACTTTGTCCCTAACAACTCGGCCCCTAACGACCAGTCTTGCATTCTGTATCACATCCAGTTTGCCCTTGACAATATCCTGCAGCTTTTCAAGATTGCCCTTATTGGCCCTTTCATCGGCATCGCCATTGCTTGTTCCTGCCTCGTCTTGACTGATCTCCGCTTCTACCAGAAGCTTGACAAATTGGGCCATGACGTTTTCGTTCACTTCCTGCTCGACCTTCCGGTAAGCTGCTTCCCAAAGGCCGTTACGCTGCGTTTTATCATGCAATCGCTGGCTCAATTCCTCCTGCTCGACTTTGCTAAGAAGCTCAGTACGAGCCTCCTTCTTATCCACCATCGCCTTTTTTCCTGTCGTCTCTTTCATTTCCCTCGTCTCTTTCTTGTCCGCCATCTCCTTCTCTTCGGGGCTAGTCTCTAGGTCGACATTCTTGCTTTCGGTTTCCGGGTGGCAATGAAAAATAGATTCATCTGACGGAGCCTGGACTGTGTTGGCGGGTTGAGTGCGACTTTGTGGTTCTTGTATCAGTGCAGACGAAGCAGGCGAAGCAGTCGAAGAGGAAGGTTCGACCTTTGGTGACTACGCCAATAACGTTAACCACACTCGGTTCTGGCTGATCAAATGTCTATGCTTTACCTCCTCGGCGGCTTTATTTCGCTTCTTCCAGGTGCTAGGCATGAAAATGCCTGTCAAGGTCTCCTTACAGGTCATAATGCTCGCCTCAGTCGCGGAAAAATGTGGGTTGACGATGGGTGGGTTTCGGATTCGGAGCGGGGTTAGGAAGTGGTGGGTGAGAATTAAGCGCCTGGAAAAAGCAATTCCGCGTAGCCCCCTGCTCTACACCGTGATCAATGCACCTATTGACTGTAACCGACTTTTTGATAACAATGATGATATTATTTGTCGCAATTCCAACGATATCACTTCTTTTCACTTTTCTTACGCTGTCACTTTTGTTCCTATTGTTCCTTGCTGTGCATTTTACTTATTTCGAATAAACTGCGCCTGTACATCTAACCACTATCAGATCTTGTCTGTTAAACAATGTGTACCTATCAATTAGATGACCCTAGCTAAGCTTTCGCGATAGTATTACAAAGAAGCAAAATTTACGGTGCCACTGTAGCACATCCATTGTTTTAACTTTTAGAACCGCATTCCCATATAAATCAAACCGCTTTCATCCCGAGAGTGGGGTTCTTACCGCTATTCCTCGGTCTGTCATTGGCAGATGCCTGACCCATGATTGCAATACTTCCCTTGTTAGACAAGGCCGTAAGCCAAACAGCGTCCCCGATGCTTTGATGAATCTCACGGTAATATTGCTCGGAGAAATACCCAGAGATTCCCCAGATTGCTTCTACTCGTGCAAACGTCCTAGTATATAAGACTCAAGACTACAACTGGCGTGACTCACTAGTACCACAGATCCCTGCACCTCAACTCTTGAAGTTCGAATCTCACGATTCATTGTCCTCATAGATATCACTACATATGTGGTAGCAGTATAATTTATGCTTGCCTCGGCAGATCATGGATGTTGAGATTCTGACCTTGACACGCGACCCCGGCCCGAACCACGCAGCAATCGCTAAGATTCTGTACAATCAGCTTTCGAATTCAAAATGGGAACTCTAGGGAATTCATGGGGCTCACAAGCAATTTCACAATTTATCAATCAGTGGCCCAATAGCTTCCAGTGGGAGTCAGCCGACTGCGTAAGTGTTAGCAGCGCTGAATCATTCCTCGTATCCTCGGGATTCATTTACGTGGCGACTATTCATGCATGAAGCCTATACCGGATTTGGACTATCTAGTAATGACTAGTTGATTGATCTTGAAGCACTAGTGCTATCGCTTACACTTTTGCTACACAACCCCGGAGATAAGTATTGACAGTAGTCTATCCTCATCCCTCGTTGCCCATAAAAAATGCTACTGTCTCTATCATCGTCTTTATTGGCACTACTAAGTTATGATCTCAACAGACACCCTTCTTGCGCTCCTGCGTGCAAGCATAGAGAACATGCTGGGTCACACCACGATGCCAGTTCCCGTCCTTGTATCACTGGCTTTAGCCCTCCTTTTGTTTTCTTTGTTTTTTCTTTTTCAAACCGGAACTTCACATATAAGGACACGGCCCTCAATCCAAAGAAACACTTCGAGCTTACGTCTACCAGAGTCAAGTGGGAATTCTTCTTCAATGCTCAGAGGCTATTACGGGATTGGTTTACAACCCATCCCAGCACGCCAGTACCTTTGCATACTGATGTTGGGGAAATGACGATGCTCCCCCCGAGTATGGCGAATGAGATTCGGAATAAGGAACATTTGAGCTTCTCCCAATGGGCTATGAAGGTATGCTTTGTCTTCTCAATATTTGCTGTTTAATACCTTGCTTGTGTGGAAGACTGAGAAGGCCTCAGGCATTCCATGGAAATTTACCTGGATTCGACGGATTCCGTGAGATTGGCCAAGATTCGGGTATTGTCCAGGCCGTTATTGCAAATGACCTGGCGAAATACTTGAGTGAGTCACCGAACCTCATCAATAGTGATGCTTGTGCGTATTCGCATACTGATTTTTGAATCCGGATTCTTTACAGATAAGGTTACTGAGCCCCTTGCCGATGAAACTTCCGTGGCCGTCCGTGAGCTGTTAACCGATAACGAAGGTAGACAATCTTGATTCGTTGATCTGGCAGTGGACGGGCTAATGAGTATAATCATTAGAATGGCATACGATCCGCTTGAGTGGTATAATGGTGGCTCTCATTTGCCACATCGCCTCGCGTGTTTTTCTTGGGGAGAAGTTGTGCCGGAATGAAGAATGGCTGCGAATCACTCAAAGCTATACCATAGATGGATTCCTTGCGATGACAGAACTCCGCATGTGGCCTGCAGCTATCTACCCCATCGTACACTGGTTCTTGCCCTGATGTCGCAAGCTCAGGACTCAAGTGAGTAAATCTCGGAAAGTCAAGCAGCCAATATTGGAGGAGAGGCGTCAATTAAAGGAAGGCGTTCATGCAGAGGGTAAACAGTCATCAATATTGATGATGCTATTGAATGGTTCGAAAATGCCGCGAAGGGTCGGCCTTATGATCCTGTCGGTGTGTAGCTGATTCTTTCTGTCGGGGCCATCCACACCACTTCGGACCTGACATGTCAGACAATGACCCATCTTGTACAAAACCCAGAGATTTGGGAGCCTTTACGCAAGGGAATTGTCGACACTCTCCAACAACATGGCTGGAAAAAGACCGCTTTGTACAACATGAAATTGCTGGATAGCGTTATCCGGGAGAGCCGAATACTGAAACCAGTCACCAAAGGTAAGCAGAGCAGATTCCCATCTGTTCTCTCATATCTTCCAGAGATCTGACTAAACTATCTGTAAATAGTCTCAATGCGCCGGATGGTCCTCCAGGAAGTCAAGCTCTCCGATGGGACGGTCATCCCGAAGAATGGCATGCTTGCGGTATCGGCGCACAAGCTGTGGGATGACGACACCTACGAAAATGCGGCCTCCTTGGACGGATACCGGTTCTATAGGATGCGCGATGATCCTGAGCGATAGTCCCAGGCACAACCTGTTACAACCGCCCCGGAGAACTTGGCTTCTGGACATGGCAAACATGCATGTCCTGGACGCTTCTTTGCTGCCAATGAAGTGAAGATTGTATTTATCTTTCTCCTTCTGCGGTATGACTGGAAGCTGTTGGAAGGGATGGTACCAAGGATCCTTTCTGGTGAGTTTGGCATGGAACTTGACCCGACTCTGAAATTGGAGGTTAGAAGGCGTCGTGAGGAGATGGAAATATGAAGCACGGAGCCGGTATTAATCACAGAGGGGCTCACAATGTTCTACTCCGATGTATCAGTCATGAATGGAGAAAGCAATGGCTGTGCAGATACCAGACATGGGGGGGAGATATAAATGTTGCTAGAGAAAAAACAAAACCTACGATTGCTGGACCAGACATTCCGGGGAAACCCCCCGAAGTAGACCCGGAATTTCACCGGACAGGGCTGAAGGATAGTTGAGTGGGGCAATCCCCCTGAAGCCCTTCTGGAACCAACGTTATTCGCCCCGTTTAAATTTTAAGCATGCCGCTGGTGTCCACGTCGCATTCCTCCTCGATTATCTAGCCTTCCTGGCATGCCGATGACCCATTCCTGACCCATCGCATGTACTGTGACAATGGGCGCCTCACTCACCCTATACACGCAGAAGCTATCGCGCAAAAGCCATCGAAAATCCCGTCTAGGCTGTAAAAATTGTAAGAGGCGTAGAGTCAAAGTCAGTTCCCCCAAACATTCCTCCACTGGAGAGATACTAATCAGTTATTAGTGCGATGAGATCAAACCACACTGCACCAACTGTCTCCGCCATTCCATAGAGTGCGACTACAGCTCTCAACCCCAGACTCACCCCAACTCCACTCCACCATCTCAACAAACAGACTCAGTATCACCGCAATCACAGGGCCCCAGCACAGACAGTTACACCTTCTACTCATCCACACCCACGAACTTCCGACCCCCAAAACGAGGCCATGGCACTTCCCACACATCAGAACCCGACCCAACCCCACCAAACAACGACCTAGTCAAGCGCCCCTTCCAGTACACAGCCCTCGACATGCTCCTCTTCCACCACTTTTCCACATCCCCTGAACTAACCGGCGCTCAACCAAAAGCCCGTCAACAACTATGCCAAATCGCTTTTGCCCATCACTACGTCATGCACATTCTCCTCGCCTTCTCTGGCTTTCATCTCGTGCGACGTTCGGATGATCAACAGTGGAGTCAGAGCATGGGTTTCACAAAAACACAAATTTACACTGAAGCCGAACGCCACTTTAACGTTGCTGTCCGAGACGTTTCAGCCATTTTACCGCACCTTGACCGCGATAACAGCCCCGCAATGTATGTCTCTGCGGTCTTCATCTTCATCTCAAGTCTCGCCCGTGGCCCTCAACCGGGGGAGTACCTCGCTTTTCGGAGTGACGGGGACCCAGGCCATCTATCTCTGTTTCTAGGTGTTCGATCTGTATTCGAGCTGTGTAGTGGGGACATGCCAACAAGTGTATTTGCAATTCATGGAGAAGACGATAATTCTGCGCCAGCCTCTGATAACCCGAGAAATGAGACACAAGGCAACGGTTCCGAGGGGTCTACCTCACAACGAAGGACAAAGCTAGGAGACTACCGCCACCACCTAGAAACATACCGCGCCCTCCTCATGACATCCATACCCATCGAGGATCCACGACTACCTATTTACCTGCAAACCCTTGACCGACTAGGTGACAGTCTCGACGCCATAATGGGCCCCGATACGCAGGGAACAATAGGAATGGCTCTCTTCCCGCTCGTCTTTGCGTGGTTGTATCAGTTGCCGGATGCGGTGGTGGGTGATTTGCAGCGGAGGGAGCCGGTCGCGTTGATTATTTTTGCGTTCTTTTTGTATCTGCTTGGTCGGCTGGATAATGTATGGTTTATTTCTGGGTGGCCAAGGCATATTCTAGAGGGGGTAAGGAGGCATTTGGATGGGGGGTATGGGGGGTATATTCAGTGGGCGGTGGATCATATCGGAACATCAACAGATGGGTTAGGGGCATGTACGGAGGTCGTAAGTAAGTGATGATATGGCAAGGTGAAATCTGAATGGCCATTTCATATATATTCTCAGTTTACGAAATAATCAGAACAGTACTCGATGACTCTTAATATCACCCTCCCAGCGTCCCCTCAACCACCGACCTCGCCAACATCCTCAGGGTCATCTTCGCATCCATCAACTCCAACATACTCACTCCCTTCCCAAACGCCCCTTGAAACCAATTGCGGAACTCCGCCGCCATCAAACTATCGATACCATGCTCCGCCACCGTCTTCTCGGGGTTCACACTACCCACATCTACAAACAACAGGCTCGCTACGTTGGCCCGGATAGCCTCAGTCACAGGCTCAATAGTCTGCGTCTCTGCACCTTTTTCAGAGCTTTTACCCCCCGCCTTTAATTGCCATTTATACTGAGCGGTACGTGATGTGTCGGAGTCGTTGGTGTCCGAATTACTAAGGGAGGAGGCGTCCTCTACAGCACGAAGCATCAAGGAGACACGAGGATCCTGGTGCCATCTGGGGGTGGGGGAAGAGGCGATGGAGGCAGATGAAGATCGGGCCATCTTGGCGAGGACGGCTGGGTCAATGCCAGTTACTATGTGGGACGCAGAGAGGGGGTCATCATTGTGGCCGAGCCATTCGGCGTTGGGGTGGTTATTAACAAAGGCTGGCTCGAGCATACGTACAACCTGGGCTCCAGTCATACTTTGACCTTTAGCGCGGGCGAACAGTTTGACAGTGACGGGGTCGTTGGTCAAAGGGCCCAGGTCGTTGATGAAGCCAAGGGCAACGGTTGTGGCGGGGAGACCCAACCGGCGGCGGTAGCGGCCAAAGTAGTCAAGATAGTTGTTGGCAGCGAGGTACGTGCCTTGAGTTGGGAAGGCGTACATTGTGCCCAAGGAGGAGGTCTTGGCGAAGAAGTCGAGGGGAATGGAGATCGTGGCCTCGTGGAGGTGCCGGACGCCAAAGACTTTAGCCGCCATGCCTTGGTGGAATTTGTATTCGGTCATCTTATCGAATGGGATGTCTTGGTACGAGACGGCGAAGTGTAGAACACCGCGGACAGGCCGTTCGGGGTTGGCATGAGCCGCTTTCATGGAGTACATGACGGCGTCGCGGTTGGCTACATCGCAGGCAATTGGCTGGACCCGGATGTCTTGGGTTGCCAGCTCGGTGATGAGACGCTCTGCTTCTGGGGCTAGGTTGTTTGCACCACGGCGAGACCAGACTTCCATGTCGCGGGCACCGCGGCTGCTCATCCACCGCACGATTGAGCGGCCCAGGTCGCTCAGCCCGCCGACAAGGATGTAGCGAGCGGCGGGATCGAAACGCGCAGGGGGCGCGGATGAGGTGGGGAGAGTCCGCAGCACAGTGGATGGGTCTTGGTAGGTGATGACGCGCTTTCCGATGTGGGTGCCTTGCGAGAACTGAAGGAGGGTCTGGTCGAGGTGGCCAATGTCTGCAATTTGGTAGGGCTTGATGGGTCCAATGCGACCAGCGCGGAAGTGCGCGTCGACGGACTGCATCAGCTCGGCCCCAAGGACAGGGTCGCGCTCTACAACGAGACCAAAATCAAAAGAAGTGAATCCAGCACTTTTTTGAAAGAGCTCTAGGCCGATACTTTGGGAGCTAGTGACATCCATGCGACCAACGTCAATCAAATGTCCCAACGGGGCGAGGGCTTTTACGGACTCGTACAACATGTCGCCCTGCGCGTTACTGAGTATGACATCGAACCCCCCATGCTGCTGACTAGCATGCTGTAGACTGGTCAAGTCGCGGGAGGAGAAGATCTGCGATGCTGGAATACCCATGTGATCTATCAGGAACTGAACTTTGTCTGGAGTACCGGCCGTCGCATAGATGGCGGCCCCCTTGGACCGTGCCACTTGAATAGCTGCCAGTCCCAGGCCGCCCGTAGCCGATTGAATTAGTATCTTTTGTCCAGACCTGACACGGGTGATATGCTCGAACGCATACACCGCAGTCATGTACACCAGCGGCATAGTGGCCGCCTCGATTGGGTTGACGTCCTCGGCCAGCTTGCGTGCGAGGCCTGCCGGCACACGAGTGTGGGTGCCAAAATGCCCCTTGCCCAGGCCATAGACTCGGTCACCAACGGTGACGCTAGTAACATCAGCTCCTGCCTGAGTGACAGTACCGCAGTATTCGTTAGAGAGGTTGTTCGCATCGTATCGGCCCGAACATAGGCCCAGGTCTTTCCAATTGAGTCCGACAGCATCCACCTTGACGTCGATATAGTCCCGTGGCAGTGGCTGCAACAGCTCCGTATACGGATGAAAGTACAGGGAGGTGAGGATGCCTGGTGTCTCGAACGCCGCCCGTACAGGTCCAAGGCTGCCCAGTGGAACCTCTTGCCTGGTGGGAGCTACCTCAGCATAGCCTTGCAGCTGCCCGTCGGGCACGAACCGGCTGGTCCACATGCAGCCATCTTGCCAAATCATGTCACGATTAACTTCGGAAGGCCTGTTGTCATTGAGAGTGGGCTGCAGGAGGTGCTCCTGTTCAGCTAGGCATCGGACCAGCTCGTCCATCTCGCCGGCAGAGACTTGAAAGCCTTCCGCATCAATGTCCACGGACAGAAACTGCCCGCTCGGGTTTTCAGTTCCCAGTGTCCGAAGCAACCCGCTGACGAATGCACCATCGGGATTTCGGCCCTTCACTAGGCCACAAGAGGTGACCCAGACCATACTCGCCGTATTTGCAGCTAGATGCTGGAATATTCCCAGTCGACGTTGGTCGGCAGCAAACAGAAGGTTCTCTCCATCCAGGAAAGCCACCACGCGAGAATTGGGGCCGATGATGTCAACTACTTGGTCCAGAGGACTGATCTGCACAGATAGGCCTCGCTGTTTCATGGCCCGGGCCAAATGATGGAGAAGGGCCGGGGTGTCTTGAGACCCATGCATTAGGTGGACCATAGAACTACCGCTCTTGCAAGTCGGCCCTGGCTCAGGCAGGGTGGACAGGATTATGGTGGAGGAAGGGTCAGCTTCGCGACAGATCAGCTTGGCCCCTGACTCGAATCCCGCGCGCAGAAGGCATCGGTTCCATGCAAGATCACTACTTTCGGTGTGGTCCACTAGTACAAGGTGTCCCCCAGGCTGGAGAAGCTTCTTGGTGCTTGTTAGGGCCTGCTCGGTTGCTGTGACATTTTCCGCGTTGCTCCACAGGATGATGTCGTAAGTCCCTATCTGGGATTCCTGCTCTGAAAAATCTTGATTCATATCCAACACGGAGTATTCGACGTTGCGAAATTCTGATGTAGTCTCACGGAAGGAGTCGAGTCGCTGTGCAGACATGTCGGTTGCTACGTACTCGCGGTAGCTCTTAATGCCATTGTGACCGACCAAGGCCTTTAGTACCGCCTGGCCAGCATTTTGGTCATCTCTCCCAGCGTTGAGCTGCAGAATTCGTAGTTCTGGGTTGGCGTGGCCCAGGAGGTCGAAGAGGTAGGAAAGTCGACAAAAAGAATTAGACTCGTCCACAGACGAAAGCAATTGAGTCCACTGCTTCCGACTTAATGTTCGACTGTCAGGTCTCCAGACAAGACGCGCGTAAGGGCTGGAATACGCCTTTCTAGATAGATCCGCTGCAGAGGACTGTTGCTCGTTGAAATTGGTGTACCGCATGTTGTCCACATCCATAATAGCTTCCCCAAAGTCATTCAATAATTGAAATTGGGCGTAAGCTCCACGTAGTCCACGCAGCTCACCGCGCGATACCCCTCTAATCCAGTCACGGTCTTGGAGGCAGCCGAGTTTGAAGCGCATCTGGTCGAAATGAATGGGCAATTGAACGCTAGCCGTTTCCGCTAGTCCGCCATTACAGGCCATGAGACCCAGGCGGATAGCCCGATCCAAGGAGGTGGGGTGGATGGGATAGCTTGACTCGCCTCCAGGGAACATGTCTGATGTGGTATTTAAAGATAGCTTGGCCACTGCTATGTTTCTAAAAGGGTCAGCCCAGATATCTGAGTATCCTTGGAACGAAGGCCCAAAGTGGAGGCCCATATCAGCTACGCGAGTTTGCCAAGCCTGTTCATTCACAGCACGTCCGTCCATGGTAGTTGTGTCAATGGGAGTAGGCGCGTTGAAGGTAGCGACCTCAACCTTGACCATACCTGCGCAGTGCTCCGTCCACTGTTCGGAATCATTTGCCACTGAAGCGATAGAAAATCTTGCCCATCCCGGAGATGCGGCGGTCGCACCGTCCTCTAGCTCCATGCTAAGCACAATTTCAATGCCCCTATCGTCTTGCGGGACAACTAAAGTCTTCTTGATTGAGACGTTACGAAGGGTTAAACTAACAATGGGCAACGCATCGGGCAACTCCGCATAAGCCTGTTCTGCTGCCAGCATCGCCATAACGATGTGTGCCGCTCCGGGGTGCAAAACGTGGGGAGGCACGCAGTGGTCATTCAGCCAGGGCAGACTTTTCAAACAGAGTATGTTTCGCCATTGCGGACGCAGCCGAGTTGTCCCTGGCACCCGGGCTCCAAGCAGATCATGCCGGGGCCAGCGTCGGTGACGGTACTCCTTGCTCAAACGGCTCTCGTGGTACTTTATAGGTCCATAAGAGTACCGGTAGGGCGGCAGGTCAATAGCCATGCAACCATGTACGAGCGCTCGTTGTGCTCCAAATTATTCATCAACGGCGTTGACTGCCACCAAGTCGACCTCTGCATTGAGGGCAAATAGCGTTCCGGCGAGTCCAAGTAGCGAGCGGCGAGCATCCTGACTTCTCTCTACCGATGCAACATGGGGAACCGTGCGCCCCAAGCTTTTGGCGATCTGCCCCAATGGGCCTTTCAGCGCTGGATGAGGACCAATCTCCACAATGACGCCAATGCTCAGGTCATCTGTATTTAGAAGCCTGGAGGCGGCATCGGTAAATCGTACGGGTGACTCCAGATTTGCCTGCCAATACAAATCGGTCACTTCATCCCGAGGCATGGATGTGTTTTTGTGTGGCACCACCGAAGAAACCCAGGGGACGTTGGAATATCTGTGGGCGGTATCAATCATTCCTACGCTGGCAAGTTGGTGCAATGCATCATCAATGGCCTGAGCGTAATCGTGGCCAAGTAAGTGCATATGGTGCGAGTGATAGGCAATCCCTCCGGTCCGAAGTTGCCGGTTGAAGACAGCCTCTTGGGTGAGCTGGACACTCAGTTTCCCGATAGCATCAGCGTCACCAGACATGGTGATGCTGACCGGAGAGTTGATGGCCGCTACTTTGACTCTATCCCCGAGCCCAGCGCGTTTGATGTACTCGGCACCCTGCTCTGCCCCAAATCCCACGGCCAACATAGAGCCCTGTTTTTGGTTGAATGAGACAATGTATCCACGGTAGTAAGCAATGGTGATGGCCTCTGCTGCTGTGATCCGACCGGCGGCGTACGCAGCAGCCATTTCGCCTGATGAATGGCCCACTACTCCCGCAGGGCGGACCGACCATGATGCCAACAGGTCAACAAGAGCAATCTGTAGCGCGGTACATGCTGTCTGAGACACCCCAGGCTTGTGTATGAGATCCTTATCGCATTTGCCACATAGAATGTCTGCAACCTTCCATGGGGCGGGTTCGGGCAACGTAGCCAGCACGGTATCGAGGTATGCAACGACATCTCTGAAGACGGCGTACTCGAACAATTCCGCTCCCATAGCAGGCCATTGGGAACCTTGTCCTGTGAAAATAAAACCGACATTTACTTGACGGGGCGAGGCGAATACCTTGGGTTTATTGTCCATGACCTGTCCGCTCTGGACGACCTGATCTTTGTCAACAATCGAGAAGGCTCGCTGAGAGAAGCGGGATCGTTTAGATGCGAGAGTGTAGGCCACATCTGCCAGTGAATGCTGAGGAAGGGAATTGTGCAGCGCCTCCATGTTCGCTTTTAGAGAAGACTGTTTATGCGCGGAGAAGGGAAGAACCACCATCTGGCGAGTGGTAGCATCGGCCTGTCTGACCATTGTCGGGGAATTGATTATTGGACAGTGCAACGGAAAATGTGCTTCTAACTTGGCTTCATTGGTTTTATTCTTGTCATTGGTGCTCGTGATTACATGTCCGTTGGTACCATTTGACGTCTCAGCCTGCTTGTCAATAATGCCGGGCTTCACATACTCTGGAAAGGCATTTTGGACGTGGTCGATGATGCAATGGCCGTTGGTGCCTCCAAAGCCTGCCGAAGTGACACTTGCCCGCTTAAGTCGATCATTTGGCCATGGCTCTAATTCACTGACGACGCGAGCCTTGGCTTGATCAAAATCGATGCGTGGATTGGGAGTCTGGAAGCCAAGGGTTGCAGGGAACTCCCCAGCCTCGAGCGAAGCGACCACCTTGAGGATACTGGGCAAAGCGCTTGCACCTTCCAAATGGCCCACATTAGTCTTAACAGATCCAATAAGCAGGCGATCTTTAGGGTCATTGGACCGAGACGGCCCAAACACATTCCCAGCTGCTGCCACTTCGATTGGGTCTCCGACACGGGTGCCCGTTCCGTGACACTCGAGCAAGGTCGTCTCGCCGGGATCAAGCCCCCCTGCATTCTTGTAGCTGTACATCTTGATGTTAGTAGTGACTCTGAGAGGCATAGTCTATATTGTGGACAAAACTCACGCTTCTCGGATGAGGGTCTCTTGTGCTGGACCGCTGGGGTTAGTGATACCCTTCGTACGCCCATTAGCATTGACTGCACTGCCTCTGACTAGGGCGCGGATTGGAGACGCATCCTGCATTGCAAGCGAGGCTGTCTTTAAGTAGAGAGCTGCGTAACCTTCGCCGCGTGCATACCCATCTGCAGACTCATCGAAAGTGTGGCACCTGGAGGAAGGTGACAGGGCGCCCAGTTTTCCCATGGCCATGTGGCTGTTGGGGTTCATAAGCCAATTCGACCCGGCTACAATTGCAGAATCGCAATCCCCATTCCGTATGGCGGTAATAGCCAGGTGAAGTGCATATATGGACGAGGCGCATGCACTGTTGATCAACAGACTCGGGCCTTGGAGGTTGAAAATGTAATGAATGCGGTTGGCCAGCATGTTAGGAAAGGCACCACTGGCCGAGTACTTGCCACTATAGTCCCAATCACGTGTCTGGGACACATAATTGTCGAGAGAGATGTCGCCCACAAAGACCCCGATTCTACTCCCGGATAAACTGTCCCACGTCTCCCCCGCATTCTCGAATGCTTCATATGTCACTTCGAGTAGCTTTCGTTGCGATGCGTCCATGGTTTCCGCCTCGGCATCAATAATCCCGAAGAAGGACGGGTCAAAGAGCCTCACATCCTCTTTCAAGAGGAAGCCACTGCTGCCTACAGCGGTTCCAGGGCGCTCTAAATTGGGATGATAGAAGCCCTGGGCTGAAAAGCGCGGCGCGGCAAACTCCCCTTGGCTATCCTTCTGGTCCCGGAGGAACTCCCAGAATGCAGGAATGTCATGAACACCACCTGGAAGACGGCAACCTTCTAAAGTCAGCAAGGTTCAATATTCCGAAAACCCAGGGACATTCAATACCCATGCCAACAATGGCAATCGGCTCGCACTCATTCGATTTTGGAGTTTTCATGATGGGTTGACAGGGAGTGTAAGTAATAATGGATAAGACCCAGAAAACTGGGGCAGGTATATTTCGGAAAGGTGAAACACTAAATACAGAGGTCGTTTCTCTTTCCCATATTAATAATACGGATGTGGCTATATTTGTCAATTGACGTGCTGTATTCACCTATCAGGCAGCCTCGTTCACGGTAACAGGGCCCCTATATAGCTCTCATATCCCAGAAAGCTGCAATTTTAGGGGAAAAGATGTGGTCCTGTTTTAGTCTCATACTAAGACCGGTTCGGTGAAAACATGACGTGACTTTTTGTACATCATCTGTATCCTGTCTGTCTAATGTCATGATACATGAGATTCCCGGTTTCGTCACACCGAAAAGCTCCGGGGATTTCGTGATCGACATTCACATGGCCAACATGTACTGACTGCAAAGGGTATTGGTCTTGTAGCGAGGAAAACTTTAACCGAGTTCGGCTCTGTGCTTGCAGAGCAATGTAATGATAACACATGCAGGTTTGTTTGCAAATACCACTGGTGGGGACACGCAAAGGCATTTCTGCATTGGTCGATGCGCATATTGTTCCAAAGATTTAATGAATTCACAGATGCAAGCAACACAAGCTGTAATATGGGGAGGTACTAACCAGCATACTCCGTCAAAACCTGCAAGGGATAAGGTACAGTATCACTCGACTCAGTAGCCTGCATGAACCCGTTACCCTATACGTAAGTCAATGATAAGACGGCAGCAAGTCCCAATCGCAGAAAGAAAACAACTAGGCAGATTCAAACAAAATAAGCTAACATAAAGAAAAATCCTCAAAGGGCGATAAGACAAAAATGAAGTAAGAAAAGAGAGAGAGAGAGACAAAGAGATGTGATACCCCCCAAGGGGACCCGTGTGGCCCTGAACCTTAGGAGCAATCTTGTAAGGGATGCCCAGCTACATAAGCCGGACCAGAATGCTAGGCCCGTATCTTGTGGTTTAACTGGCAAACAGGGGTTCCGTCTGCAGAAGCGCACCTAGGACGCGCCCCTGAACATTATATGATTAGTTCGGTTAACATATTATCAATTTTGGAAGTAGCATCAGACGCTTGTATGACGGTAGCAACTAATTGGAGTTACCGAATAACAAAATGTGTAACAGATAGTACCCCAGTTTGGAAGGTATCGAATTATATGATAGCTATATGGTATCATGTGCGGAAGTCTGGGAAGCTGAGGTCTTAGTAGACTACGTATGGGTTCCTCACGTAGCATCTGCGGGTATTGGTAATGTTGGATTTCTAGCACACACCTGCTACTCAGGTTATATCGGAAAAACTTTTTTGTTTTTTTCAAAAAGAATTTACAAAATCTATACATAACTTGATTTCTTCACCAATATATTCAGCACTTATATCTGCGTAAATGGCAAAATTAAAAGTTCTTCCTATTCTCATCAGACTTCATCTCATTCTGCCGACAATAAATACGTAAAACCTGTATTTGCCGAGCGGCCACTATTGCCCACCGTAGCCGTCTGACCACAAAGGCTGACAGGACAATCTGTCACTGCAAATGTCAGCGGGACCTCCAGACCGGGGAAATAGCTCCACCATGTGCTACTTCTCCGCTTTACTCCACTGATAATATTATAAGAAAGAAAAAAAAAGCAACTTAAACTCTCGCCCGACAGCTAGACATAACAAGGGCGTCGGACCCGCCGGTGTTTTTCGAGGTGTCGACAAGATGGGAAGATCCGCAATGCATCCCACCGGCCGAAAGCGTCGGGTCACCACCTGCGTGCCCTGCTACACTAAGAAACAGAGAGTGCGTAAAGATCGCTAATGCAGCACCGAATAGCTTGAAATTAAGTTCTAATGCGAGGAGCTAGTGCAACCGCCAGTACCCCTGCAATTATTGCACCCGACGTCGACCACCCGAGGAGTGTGTGTACCAGTCTACTATTGCCGAACCCTCAAACAATTCGCCTCGGGAATCTATCAGAGGTCTGGAGCCCCGGGAGCCAGCTAGTATCGAGTTACCAGAAGGGCTTGCGGAGATTTTGCCGTCAGAGGCGCAGAAAGGCTCATCTAATCCACACTCTTCTCTGGCTAATCCCTTTGGCTACTTCGAGCACAGTGACTCTAATACAATGGCTTTGCTCAAAAAGGTGAGATGCACATAAGGACTTGGACTATCTACCCCAGAGGCACGGCTAATTTCGAATGACCCAGTGGGACCTTGACAGCAGGGACCAAGATGAGAACACCGAGGGTATGTCAACTACAGTCCTGGAGACAGTCAAAGAATATTTTGATCGAATGCCTCCCCGTCCGATATTGGATTTTCTGATGCAATATTTCGTTGATGATTTGAACTGGTAAGTCCGTGGCTAGTAACCATATCGGGTCCAAGTCGACTGATGCTCCGCGGAACAGGATGAAACAAATCATCCACCCACCCAGCTTTCTGGCACACTATCAGCAATAGTGGGCCAAGAAATGGCCTATTTCTGTGGAGGAAATTGAATTTGCCGCTCTGATACTTCGGATTGGTGCCTACTCGGCACATTTCCTGCTTTCTCCGACCCACACATCTGATCGGGTTCATGGACAGCCACTCTCGGAAGTTCGTAACACCTGTAGTGACATTGGTGATGAGCTTGCCAGAGCATGCCTGGCTTTGGACTGGAAAGGATCTCTAGTCCGAGTTCAGCACGTTTTATTCGCCTCTCTCAAATTCTCCTGTGAAGGGAGGACTGATAAATTTTGGGAAGGCATTGCCTCTGCTTGTAGTGCAGCGCAGAAGGCAGGGATTCACACGGTCGCACCTGTGCCAGGGGAGGATAGTTCTCAAGTACTAGAGAAGGAGATGCGCCGGAGAACATTATGCGGGCTGTATGTTCTGGACAGGTGTGTATGCTATCTTCCTGGCTCTACAATCGTTCGCTGACGTGGGCGGATCGACAAGCCATCTGGCCCGACAGCTTGACCGGGTCCCAATTCTCCCCGACAACCTAGTTTTAGAGACGTTACCACGATTACGCCTTGCCCCGGACATCATCGACTTGTCTACGCCTGCGGACACACCTGAAATATTCACCGAGCGTCTCATGCAGGTCCGGTTGGGAATGTTTTGGAGAAGCTTGGGTTCCAAACGGAACCTACCGTATGACCCTATTCACGGCGAAGAGCGGTATGAACGATTCTGTGCGGACTATATCCCTACCTTACCCCCGGAATTTGCACTCAATCCGAATCGGAGATGGGATGTCCAACTTCCTAAGTTGCCCATGCAGAGACAACTGCTCTACATCGCTATCTTCGATTCCGTTTGTTGGAACTTCCGCCCCCTACTGTTGCTGCAACCCAGCCAAGTCACCAGTCTACCCCCTTATAAACAAGTTCTTCTCCGGTCTCAAAAGCACAGGCTGGCTCTAGCTGCTCTCGAGGAGCTACATGCTGTCACCACTCTGCATACCATGTTCGGAGGCTCCCACACGCGTTTTAGCGCCATCATATTCAACACGTTCGAAGCTGCAGTTGTTCTTCTTGTACTTTGTGCACATAAAGACTTCCCCTTTGATCAAGGCGAAAGCCATGTCAATATTCTCGGTTTGAGAATGGCCACCCTGACTCGGGCGAGAACGATGCGGGCAGTTGAGAAGGCTTTGGGACGACTTCAGATGCTGGCTAGGGTCAGTGAGATGGCTGCCTCTGGAGCACAGGTTGTGACGCAGCTATTTGCGAAGGCTGCCAGACTTGAGCAACTCCAAGAGCCAGGCACCACCACTGAGTCAAACCAGAGCTCTTTATCCCCGCGTATATCTTCGAACTTCCCCAACGTAGACAGTGGCTCTGGGCTCTGGATGCCCCCAGGGGAGTGGAACCTGACGTCGATGCCAGACATGGTGTCCACCATAGGTTATGGTGACTCATACTCAATCCTGCAATTTCCTTCTCTTGACCCCACATGTTGGGATAGCAATTTTCACAACTAGATTGGAATTATTGCCAACCATGCAGTGACTGGATCGTAAGCACTGCCGGTACATTTGTGGATCTGCGATCAAACAATTTTTCAAAGCTGATGTTCGTGACTTTCGTAGAATTTTTCGGCTCCGTCAAAAATCCCTGTGCCCAAACCATACAATTCGCCTAGGTGATCTTCGATAAATACTGTCATTTCCGACCATTATGAAGAGAGTATCTTAGTAATTGTGTCTCTAGACCCTTATTTATTGAAATACTGCCCAGTATTAACCCAGCGGGTACTGTCTCGCCCTCTTGATGTATGCTTGTTCACTACATCTTCTCTTCTTCTCTTGCCCCCTGAAATCTAATTCGGTACCCCATAAAAGTCTCAGCCAGGCTTGCAAGTATGCTGCTATCCCGGTAATCCTAAAGAACGCCGTCCGAGAGCTGTACCTGAACGCGACTCCTTCAGGCGCGTCAGTGATCTGCATGTTGCCATTGGGCAGAACTCGACAACAGATCACGACGTTTATATGCTTATTTGAGCCATGGGTTACTTTTGTCATGGGTTGGGGTGGTCTTGGATGCACTATGCTCTTTGTCGGGTGAGTGCGTGGGGCGTTCTATCTTCGGCCGACGAATTTCGGGTGAGCGACATGGATATTATATGATCATCCCCCGGCCTCCTACGGGGATAGTCTTTGCTAAACTCCTAATCCCGCCATCGTGGCAACAGCAAAGCTCAATTTGTAGAAACAATCTGTCCTGCAATATCCATGTCGTGGTAAATTCACGACGTGGTCCGCCGGTCCTAACGGACATAAAGAGATGCAAAGGTGTGATCTACCCTGGCTCGACGCTATACAAATGCGCCAATTCCCCCAGTCGCTCAATCCTCTCAACCATATACTATAACCCTCTCATATCCGCTATTATCAAACCCGCAGCGCACTCACTTTCTCGAATTCGGGAACCAGGGTCCGCCATGGATAGTTCTCTCCGTCATCGCGAAGAATCCGACGAGAAAGGTCCACACGGCGACGCCAATGCCACCGAAGACGATGTCCGCGAAATCACCGGATATTGCTGGTTTCTAATCTGTGCTGCCCTGTATCTCTCTGCTTTGATGTATGGTCTTGACACAACCATCGCTGCGGATGTACAAGGCGCCGTGATTGAGAGATTCGGTGATGTGTCGCAACTCGCCTGGATTGGAGCCGGCTTTCCGCTCGGCTCAGTTGCCGTGATTCTCCCCTACGGATTTCTCTACACTGTCATGAACATGAAGTGGCTATACATTGCCGGTATCGTGCTGTTCCAGGGTGGTTCCGCTCTCTGTGGCGGCGCTCCGACTATGAACGCCCTCATCGTCGGTCGTGTGATTGCAGGTGCTGGGGGTACAGGCATCTACCTCGGTGGACTCAACTATTTCTCAGCCATGACCACTCGCAAAGAACGCGGTACATACCTCACGGGGACGGGTTTTGTCTGGGGCGTCGGCGCTATCCTGGGTCCTGTCGTGGGAGGCGGATTTTCCGACTCCTCCGCTACCTGGCGCTGGGGCTTCTACCTGAACCTAGTAATCGGCGCCATCACGGCCCCCGTCTACCTCTTCTACCTCCCAGCCATTCACCCCGGCGCCGGCCAATCCCTTCGCAAACGCTTAACACGTCTCGACTACCTGGGCTTCGTTCTCAGCGCCGCAATGTGGGTGACCTTCGCACTAGGCTTCATCTCCGCCGGGGGCATCTGGGCGTGGGATTCCGGCGCAACCATTGCCCTAATAGTTCTCTTCGGAGTCCTCTTCATCCTCTATGCACTGCAGCAATACTTCTGCATCTTCACCACACCTCAAACCCGCTCCTTCCCAGGCCATCTCCTACGCTCCCGCACCCAAATCCTGCTCTACATCACAACGACCTGCGCCAACACCGCCATGTTCTTCACAACTTTTTACATCCCGATCTACTTCCAATTCACCCGCAACGACTCCTCCCTGATGGCCGCCGTTCGTCTGCTCCCGTACCTCCTCGTAACCATCACCATCAACCTCGCCATCGGCTGGCTCCTCCCAAAGGCCAGATACTACATGCCGCTGTGTCTCATCTCGGGCATCCTCCTTACCCTCGCTAGCGCCCTCTTTGTCGGATATCTCTCTCCTTCTACCCCTGCGGGACAGATCTACGGCTTCACAATTCTCATGGCCGTCGGCACGGGCATGACCATGCAGCTGGGGTACGCGGTAGCTAGTCTCAAGGTACCTGCCGAGGATATCTTCAGCGCGATCAATTTACAGAACGTGGCGCAGATCGGGGCGACGGTTATTTGCCTTGTGGTGGCGAGTCAGGTGTTTCAGTCTACTGCAGTACAGAATCTGAATGCGGTGCTGGATGGGAGGGGATATAGTGAGGCGGAGATTCGGAACGCGGTGGCCGGGGTGCAGAGTACGTTGTTGAAGAGCTTGAGTGGGGAGCTGAGGGAACGGGCTATTAAGGCAATCACGGATGCCATGGCGAGGGCGTTTGTTATTCCGTTGGTCGCGGGGACGGTGGGGGTGGTGAGTTCGTTGGCGATGAGGAGGGAGAGGTTGTTTGGGTAGGAGTAGGAGTTTTTAAAGGGGAGGTGATGGCGTCCAGCCCCATGAACATTTTCAGATGCTTCAGCTTCTTAGTTGGGTTTGACGCGCTGAAAGCTGACATCGACACATTTTCATGCCTTAGGCTGCAGGGTCGCTATACTCTAGCTCTGTACTAGACGTCTATATGTAATTACTCCTTTATATACTGTCAGAGGCTATATAAAGAGTCACTATTTGACATAGCTAGCGTCAATAATACAACTTCATATCATAGTACTGTCTGAAGCAACTCAGGAAAGCCGCCGGAAGATCGCAGCGGTGGGGTTTTGTGCCAGAGTCTGCTTAGGGCGGTAGACATACACTGCTGCTCGAGGAATGATTGCATAGTAATACTGGCTCATATAACAAAAAAGAATTGTTTCTTTCAACGAATTGGCTGGATGGTGTAGTTGGTTATCACGTATCGTTAACACCGATAAGGTCCTGGGATCGAGCCCCAGTCTGGTCATTCTTTTTTGCTTTTTCCTTTTCCGCACCGTCCAACAAACAGTACCACTATTCACAGTCAGAGTAACTGTATACCTCTTTTCTTTTTTTTTCTTTTTTTTTTTCTGTGATAATTATTATTACGACTTGTATTTCTACTGCTACCTTCGATTCCCTACTTTGCAAAAGAGGTCGAGATAGTTTAGTACCAGTCATTGTTTTCTTTCTACATTTTTGGATCCTGAACTATGAACAGCCTAACTATCTTCATAATATATATTGGTGAGACCCAACACGCCTACGCCAGACAATCATAGACAGCCCGCACATAAGCCGCCGTCCTATCTGAACCCAATGTGCCCGATCCCATCTTATTCATGACATAGGCAATTGTCATCCGTCTCTCAAGATCCATAACAACCACCGCACCACCCCAGCCCGTCCAAAAAGCAATGCGACCGTCGGGCAACCAAGGAATCGTCTCCGGGACGGGCAACCCAACACCAAGTCCCCAACGCAAATGATACATCAAGACCAAATCCGGCCCACTGATCTGCTCCTCCAGCATGCCGTCAATAGTTTTAGGAGAAAGATACTGTTTTCCGTCCACCGTGCCTCCAAGCGAGACGACCGACGCAATGCGCGCAATCCCACGAGCATTAGAGAATCCATTCGTCGCACCAATCAACGCCTTCCTAAACTTAGGACCCATACTTTCTTCAGCCGGCATAGGCAGACTAGCGAAGCTCTTGAACATAACACTCTGCCGGTCAACACCATCGAGACTCGGTCGCGGCGGCGGGGAAACATCTGCTGTCCGCGGCCAGTCCTTTTCTGGGACCCCGAGCTGAAAGTCCGCATCTAACGGACTGGCAAGCTCATCGCGGATGAACTCGTCCAGTGGTTTTCCGGTGATGCGACGGACAAGTTCGCCGAGCAAGTGGCCCTGGTTGACTACGTGATAGCCGGAACGTTCGCCGGGCGTCCACCAAGGGGCCTGTCGGGCTAGTTTATCGGCACCTCTCTTTGCATCATATATATCATCTAAGGTATTGGGAAGCTCCCAGGAGGATACTCCCGAGGTGTGGCTGAGAAGCTGTGATACCAGGATAGTCTCCTTGCCGTTCGCAGCGAACTCCGGCCAGTATTTAGAGACCTTCTCATTTGGGTCTAAGAGGCCACGGTCGATGAGGATGTTGGTTGCGATGGCGGTGATGACTTTTGAAACGGACCATACCACGGTTATTGTGTCCTTTTCCCATGGCTTGGTTCGGGCTGGGTCTGCGTGGCCGCCCCAGAGATCAACTACGTTCTGGCCGTCGATGTTGACACAGATGGAGGCTCCTAGCTCTTCTTCATTGTTAATCAATTGCTGTAGGAGATCGCGCACCCGAGTGAAGGCCGGGTCGCAGTGGCCGTTGATTGTGGCCATTGTGGAGTGGTGGGATACAAGGACAGGACTTAATCAAGGGAAGGGAAGGGAAACTTGGATGACCCGGCTGATCCGGCATATATACGTAGATGACAATTCAGAAGGGCCTAGAAAGTGACCCCACGCTAGGTAAAACGGGCGCAGTGGCGCAGCTATACATAGTACTGATGTTTACTGGTCGGGACGGACGGGTCCCCACTGGGTTTCAGCCGTGGGGAAATCATCGGCTGTTACGATGGCCGGGAACTTGGATCAGGGGAAGATCATATCTGCAATCATTTCTCTATGGAAGACCTTCTTTCTGATATAGCGAAGTAGAAAGATCAGCCTTCGATATAGACGATACGCAGATTAGATTAAGGCAAGTGCCTGTCTAAAGCGACTGATTCAACATTATCTCAAGAGACCGAGACTGATTCAACACCACACTTCATGCCCCTCTTGAGTGCATTTCTGCCCATGTAACACAGAAAATTTGGATTCTACGTAATGCCCAAGAACATCTTGATTTAACTGTTATCTCGGAAGTCAAGTTCTGGTTGATATAAACTTTTTGAGACCATATTCATTTAGTAATCGTATATCTACCTGCCAAGAGCTTACTAAGAACCTCTAACTAGTTATCTCGCGTAGCCAGCAGACTTTTGGTTCTCTACCATTAGTACCTGGATGCAACTGTTCCACACAGCATATCCTTCCTTTCCTTGAGCGCCGCTCATATATTCTAGTACCCGATAAATCAAAATGGGTGCCAGTCAAAAAGCCACAACGTCAATTCCTCCCTCCTCCTCTTCGGCAACACCTTCCAGGACCGTTACTATCCTTCGCAGTATCGTGCAAAACCCGTGGACGTAAGTACGGTCTTTCATATCTATGTTCTAATATGTCCGAAGCTGACTTTCTAGCCTACCTTATATCGCACTGGTTACACCACTTGTGCGAAGTTTTTGGAATTACATGGATTGGAGTAACGGAGGAGAGGTGTCGCTTAATTTGAGTCATGGACTCTTGATTTTGTACTTTATTATATCACAATATGTCCGCAGGTACGGTTGATAGAATTAAGCACTATAACATGTAACGAGAGGAGATTTCATAGACCAAGCTGTTTGATCTGTACCGGAAAGGAACTCCAACATCTTGCGCCTGAGAATACTTGCCCGATGAATTTACCAAATACTGAGCAATACAGGGTTCGGTGAGATATTGTTACACAATATACGTACAATGAAAGGGCTGAATATACCTATCGACCACCCAGATGGTTGGGCCTAATGCTTTTGAGGGGTAGATTCCAGAAAGACGCCTTACGGGAAACCCTGAAAGTGCTGTTCTAACACATTGCCCCACATGGCATATCTAAGGCTGATCTGTCTACGGAGTATTGCCATAGTCGACGGCTCATACTGAGAGATTCAGCATTACCATTTTCTGATGCAGTTGTTTCACTAATACCCACACACTCCACAAAAACAAGCCTCATGTCTACCATAATCACATCAATCAAGGTCCACCTGCAGGACCACTTTTGTCCCAGTAATTTTGCCCCTGGTTGCGACATGTGCCAATAACGCAGTAATACCCGCCACCCTTGTTGTTCTGGTTTGGCGAGAACATGACGAAGCCGGCACCGTTGTTAGGGTTGAATCCCGTGCAAACGTTGTAAAGTCCGTTTTGAGCAGTATACGCAGTATGAGCGGTGTTGTACCAGATACAGACTGTCTGATGGGAGCTAGCAGTGCATTGATAGTCAAGCCCAGTTGTCCAGCTCGCCTGCACTGCAAAGCCGCCTGAGATCCATTGTGATGCATCTGCAGTCGCCGTCCATCCGATTGTAAACGACTTTGATTGGGACGCGCCAACAGTGCAATGGTCTGCGCTCCCGCAATCCAGGTTCTCCTATTCGTCGTACATCAGTCTCTCTTGTCAGACCAAAAGAAAGTGCGTTATTGACTCACGCTCAACTGTTTCCGCCAATAGTTCTGATGGGGATCGCCGTCTCCAACTTTCCTTGTAGCAGGTGACCACTGACTGCACGTGCCAGTTTGCCGCTGCTCCAAATTGCTTATATACACAGCACTTGTGGTGTTTGCTTGAGAGCCAGACACTGGAAAAGTATCCACAACGTGGATGGTCTGCGCTGCTCGCTGTGAAGTCATGTCTACTGTGTCACTGAAACAAGGGGATATGTCGTTCCCTTTTATAGGTTCCAATGGAACAGTGGTGGGCAAAGGAACGCCGTCGCATACCACAAACGACTCATAATCATTGTACATTCTGTAACAAGTGATACCACCGGAGTACTGGGGATCCTCGTGAACAACAAATGTGGAAGGCCCGGCAGTAATATTGCCGTCGCCGTTAGGTCCAACATCTACGACGATACCGAAGTCGGAAAACGCCCCGGTGGTCAGAGCATTTGAGCAGGCGGAACCAAGTATGTCTCCAGTAGAGCTATCCTTCACCAAAATTTGCTTCTCGGAGGTGATCTTTTGTTGCTGCACTGTGACTCGAGCGTATTTATGTTCCTGAGTGTAAGGTGATGGCGCCGCCAGGGCAGCCGCCATAAGTGCCGGGAAAAGAGTCAAAGAAATTTTTAGTATTTTCATCATGGTCTCACGCGGGGGAGGAAAGCCTTAATTGTTGAGAGTCTTGAGTTAGGCCTGCCATTGTAGCAAGTCTTATATTATGTGCTCCACAGACTACTCTGTTAAAGCCTTTTAGTGTTACGAAATAGGAGCGTCGGTCACCGCTGACAACAGGGCTGGTATTGAATATAGCATTACATCGTCGTTCATGTAGTCGTTGCGTTGTGGTTGCATTGGCCTGTTTTCCATGCATTAGTGAAAATACCAAGAAGAAATAAATGACTCAACTGACCGTGCGGCCTACCAGAGAGCCTTGTCACTTAGACCACAGTCATATGACTATCTCGTCTACTGAAACTTTCTGTCTCAGAACTTCATCTATCTCTTCCGACAAGCCATATGAAATGTAAACACAGCTTATAGATGAGCACTTTCTTAGTAGTCATTACAAGAACAGATTCGATTGTTTAGTGACTGGATGCATACCCAAAAGGTCTCATAGGTGACTATATCTCAGGTGGACTTGGAGAGGGAAGGCAGTCTTCCCACCCTTTCCATATGCATTAGTGCACATAGGATTGGAAAGGGGTAGTTTGCCAAGACGATAGGCTTCTGCCCCAGCCAGCTTCCCCGCACTGCAGGGTCTCAAAGTTGGGCAAAGCCTAAAGGCCGCCATCCTTCGACCCACTTACCACATGGACCATTTGAAGTTCACAAGTGACTTCGGTTACTTCCGTAAGGCCGTAGCCCAGCCCAGAAATGTAACCCTGTAGGGCGGATATATTGGCCTAATAATCTTTGAAATAAGTAATACAGCCTAAAGGATTCAACCCTGTTGCCTTTAGCCTTCTGAAGTTGTTCAAGGCTACAGTATATCACGCTGACTTGTCTTGAAGTAACATGAGCCTTAAATCGAACAGGTGAATCATGAAACATGTTTTCAGAATAGGCTTGATGTGAATCAGAGAGCCAATATTGTGTTTAGAAGTCAGTCAGTGAAAATTTGTCGCGTGAATTTGAGCCTAAGAATATCTCCAGGAAAAGCTATAAACGTCACCCCTTCCCCAACGTTGCTCGACACTCGATCCTTGTTACCCGCTCCATTCTACTTTTTGGTACATGCCTCTGCTTTCCCTACCCATACAGACGGATTTACACCCCTATAGTAAGTATTTGTCCCTAGAGTATGTTCAAGGTCTTTCTTCTGATACAAGCCAGCAGAACAAAGTCCGGAGGTACCCCGCAAGCAACCATGAACATCACAAACGGTACCCTGGCGCAGGAGCGATGCGCCGGCGACAATGGAATACCTACCCTGCCTTATCCGTATTACTGCGCCACCACCATCTGGCAACAAGGACTCGATCGGACACAAAATCCTTACGGTTATTTAGTGATGTGCTGCAAAAGCAATCAGTACAGCTACTTCGGCGAGAATAACTGTGCCGCTTACTGCAATGCCACCAAGGAAACTCAGTCAACTCTGATGGACTGTCTTACTATGGGTCACCATCTGGAGTTCGTTGTTTGTGGTTCAGGGAAGGCGTCTGGATCTATGTCGAGCTCAATGCCCAGCTTAAAATCCTATCTTGTTTTGACTGTGGTTCTCAGCGGCCTTTTGCAACTTTGAAAGATGGGAAATTGACATGTATGTGGGATATGGCCGTTTCAGATGGAGGATTCAATTGGATTATGCTATCTGGGGTTTTGTAGGGCATGATGGACTATTCCTTGTTTCGCAACTAGGCATCAACTTGCAAGCACATCTTCTCAAGCACATCGTCTGTCGGGAATGGAATCAATTCGATGAGAAAAATATGCAACCACTGTCCCAGGTATCCTCACTTACGTACCGACCAATAGACCGCCGCATGCAGTGGAACTAGGGAGTAAGAAACGTAAGGCCCAATATTTTATGCTTAGTTATGAGTGACTCCATCTTCTCCATTAGTTTCAACAGATTAATGAACTAATCTTTCGACATAATTTGTGTGGATACATCCCAAGTAGTTTCCCTCTTCAGATTCATGCCATATGATACGAACATTAGAAGACAACCTTCAAGGATTCTGGGGTTCGTTCAACATGTACTGCTTCAGTGCTACTCGGAACTGTGCCAACTTATGAACGAACTCTTCAGGTGAACCCTTCAAAATCTCTTCGTCAACTGTATCGACGAAAGCAGCAAAACGCAGACGTGGCTGACGCACAGAGCTCAAAACTTCTCTAAATACCTCCTCTAATTTGGCTGACGCGACATCCAGATCCCAGGTCTCAGTCATATTGTATGGCTCTGGATTGCCCACAATCGAACACTCCTGATCTGCCATATACTTCGAATATGGGGTGAGGGCAGCCTGGATACCATACTGAGCGCCAGTAAGGTCCATAATCCAGGTCTCATCAGTGCCCGGCTGCCGGACTCTGACCTTCAAGATGTGGTGTGGTATACCAGCAGTATCCGGGCCAGTAATGTCAACGGAGTCAGAGCGGGGAACGATTTGAATATTCAAGCTTCTCTTTCCAACGTTGACCCCCATCATGGAAATATCGCACGGTACGCCTATTGATGTCAGCCTCAGGTCACCCAACATGCACAAAGAGTGTTGGGGAAGTGGGAATAATCGTACCTGCCAAAAGCTTCGTCACCAAGCGGCACGACAAGGGACAGGCAGTAATTCCTTGAAGCCAGGTGAGGACTGCCTCTTGATGCTTGGGGTCCGTGGTCAAATTTTCTGGGAAAGGACGACCCAGAGCCAAGGAATTTCTATCCAAGATCATCGAGTTGGTGGAAAGATACAGATTGTGGTCGCGCCGCTCAATGTTGGTAACGTCAACGTCGAAATGAAGTTCTCTGTACCCCAGAAATGCAGCCTTGGCGATGACTGCCGTCCGCAGAAGTTTCTTTCGACGACGCATGGTCTTGCAGTGATCTTTGTGGACGGGTTGGTGCGCCTCTTGACAGGACAACCCGCAGTAAAAGACTGGCAAGGCATCGCCGGGAGTGTATTCTGGTGCGCCTATGCACCCCGAGCACCTCCACTTCGCCTCATTCCCGCAATTCGCACAACTGCCGGTCGATGACATTCTGCATCGGCCAAGAGAATCTTATGATAGCCGGGATTGTATAGCGTGATGGAAGTGTCATGGAGATGTCTAGAATTAGGAGGGAAGGTAACATCTGGGAAGTCTGCTTTGTTGTGGTGGGTCCCACCCACTCAGTGAATGAGGATTGCAGAACTGATATTGATGTGCCATTTAGCCCAACGATCCTTCAGCAAGCTCTGTGACACGGTACTGGCCTGCACAATACGGTGATCATAATCCCTACCGGGAAATGCCAGACAATAATTCACGATTTGCCGATTCTATTAACTATAGTGTAAGCTTTTCATGTGTTGCAGCTTAAAAAAACCAATACTGATTTGATTGTGAAGAGGAAGCACTTCTAACTGGCTTTCTTCGAGAGATAGGTTTCTTGGCAGTATTTGAGTCCGTATAAAGCAGTAACAAGCGAAAATAAAGCCCAGAGCTGAGCTTCAGTGCATAATGGTGGGCCAGCAACAGTGGCAGTGTGAGTAAACAGGTCTCCAAAACTACCAACCAAAACACTTATTGTCGTAAACTCTGATGCTACGCTTAAGATTGCCCGTCCTGTGACTCCAAAGGCACTATCTGAGGAGAAATAAGGTGGATCAAAACGAGACGTGAAGCTGCACATCATCAACCCGGACACAGATTTCCGCGTGGCGCTGCACGGGCGTCTAGTCAGGAACTAAAGTGTTAGTGTCCCGCCTCCACTAAGCGCTGGGTTCTGTCCATCCATCCACCATCACATCCCACGAATTTCTGTCCCTCCGCCCTTCCTTTTTTTTGTTTCTCCCACTTGATTCTGCCTTATCATTCTTTTGATATTCATCAGTTTTATGAAGAATTACACAAACGATGTCACTCGACCCCTTGCCGAATCGCAACCCTACCCCTCCACCCACTCTGTCCCCCTCCCCGATCCGTGTTCTCGTCCAAACTCTAACCCACCTGGTACCCTCTACCAACGAAGCTGGTGAAAAGAACATATACGATGACAAGCTCTTCACCATGCTTGACGCCATCTGCCAACATACTTGGAAATGCGACTTCGACGGTCACGTGCACCGATGGTACACCTACGGTGATGAATTCGGATACAGCCACCGAATGTGTTTCTTTCTGATAGACTACGGAACTGCCCCAGGCGGTGATGACTCCAAAGTACCGATTGTGTGCTATGAATGGGACGGAAGTAAATTGTATGCCCCACCCTCAGTACTGAACTGCAATGCAGTGGCCTTTGTTGATGATTGAATATAGCATCGACAAGCCCCAGATCCTTCAATTCGAGGACGTACAAGCTGAGCTTAAAAGTGTGCCATTTACACCAGCACCATATGAGCCTTCAGAAAAACCGCCCGTTCGGGATATAGTGCGGCGAATGTTAAGGAGTGCGCGGAGGATTCCCGTCCGAGAGTTGGACCATATGCGCGACCATCCAGAAGACATGGAGTGGTTGGAGAGGAAGGTGAAGCCCAGATTCTGGACAAGCTTTCTGGAGCAGTTGAGAAATATTGAGAAGACGAGAGAGTGGGAGGAGGAACAGAGAATCATGCGAAGGGAGTTTGAAGAAGAAGAAGCGAAGCAGAAGGAAATTGAGAGCATGGGAGATCGCTAGGTTTATCAGCAGTTATTTGGTTTGAGATATAGACAGAAGTGTATGTAGCGTGTTACATTCAGATAGATTGTTGAAGCAGCTATAATGCTTATAAAACTAGCAAGAGTACAAGTACGTAGCTGAGAAGTCGTTACACAATACGGTTACTCGCATCGATAGCTATTGGCAGATGAGACATCACCCCCAATATACTTCGCTTGAGCTGGATAAGGGCACAGATTCCTGATGTATGTGGTGCCGTTACCCCCAGAGAACTCCACAGGTAGGGTGTCAGGTGCAGTGCCATTTCCGACCCAGCTTCTCAAGGCATGAAAGACAGTTGTGGGCTGTCCTCCCTTTTCTCCTGAACGGTGCTCCAGACCGGGAGACTCGAAGAAGCGATCGAAATGTTGAACGTCAGGGAACATCGCCTTCACATTGTCATAGTATATTTCCGTGCCTCGAGTCGGAATGTGGATCGGTCTGAATCGTACCAGAAGAATAAGTCAGTTCGGCGATTATAGAACGAAGACGTGACGATAACGTAGACCTACCATTTCATGATATACAATGAGCTCCTCCTACCTTGCGGAATTCCATCGAATCGGGGTCCGCCGAATTCATGAAGTCACTGTACTCCTGCACAGCGAGCTTGAAGAGGCTCAGATACTCATCATGACTTAGTCCCGCGGTATCGAGACTAGCATTCTTTGCAATGAAGAGGTTAGACCACTCATCCGATCCAGTGCTATTCATTCCGGGCACTGAGCCAAAGCCGCTGGTAACCGAGCGGAATTTACCCCAGGTCAGAGCAATCACCATTTCTTCCCCGGGGACCAGACCAAGCGGCATCGGCAATAGCAGCCGCGCCATGGCTGAGCGCAATAGTGCGGTTATTAAGTTCAGCACACTGAAACTTCTGATTGACAGATGAATATGGGCTATAATGAGGGGCCGTCATGTTCGAAATAATCCCATCAACGACCCCATCCAACAAAGATGGGAGTAGGATCTTATTGTTGGTGTTGATTTTTAGACCATGTTATGGGGTTCATCTGAGTGTTATAAATTTCTTGGTTAAATAACACAGTAAGACTAAACGCGAACAGGAATTGCCCTGAAGTGGCTAAATGATCCCGAATAGGCACTCCATTTGACGAATATGGGATGTGGAGACAAAAGGGCTCTAAAACCCGTTCGGGAAGTTCGTTTTCGCATTTTGACTTTTCTCCACCCATGAGCGTCCTGTGGGTCCTCTCTCGGCGAAACCTACTTCAGAATAGTACATACAATATCACGATAAGGTGCATATTGAGATGTTCGGTTTCCTTACCATTGATGCTCTGAAGTGGCAAGCGTGGAACCCCATTTTGCTACCCAATAAGACTGAGTATTCAAAATATCTTATATCCGAACTTCAAATCAGTAATAGACTTTATACTGGGCCCTGGCCAGCAGAGAACCACCACTCAGGGTATTGTGTCCTGAACAGTACTAACCTTTCGAGCAATACTAATATGCTGTGCAGAAAAGAACTTACAAATTTGGTCCCGTGACAAATTCTGAGAAAAAGGACCCAGAAAAAGGGATATATTCAAATCTGCGTGCACAAGGGACAAGCTAACGGTCATACAGTATTGAAGTCCTAGAAGGCTACAAAGTAGTACATGTGGTTTGAAGAATCAGGCTGAGTCCCACAAATGAAACCGGCTTACAATAACTTTTACCTCAATCGCCGTACCCCTGACGATCCTCGAGCCTTTCAAGCCACCGTCAGCACTAAGATCAAACGGTGGCGCCTTAGACAAACCTTTATCTGGCTCTCGATAATACTTTCAGATATCCTGGTCGTTTATCCGGTATATTGCCCTTGTATTCCGGGACTTTATGCTAGAAGTATTGGACTAGGTGTCTGCTGAAGTTCTGCAACGACCACCTCAGCTTGAGTAGTCACGCTACAGTACATGAAGTACTATCTTCTCGATCTCCGGAAGAACGTTCATAAAATAACCATACATGTGTGTGTATATTCGAGGCCACCAATACAAAACAAAACTCAATACAATAATTAGGTATAGTACTATAAATACAAATATAAGAATTTCCCGTAACCACGGCCGGCTTAATGAGGATACGCCATCTGAGGCTCCATTTGGTACCCTGTAACCTGAGGCCTGGTACGTATTTCAGCCTCCTTTTCTTCTTGAATGAGTGCGCAGCAGCCACAGCACATGCTCACACAGCAATCGCCGCAGCAGGATCCCTCAATTCCATACTTGTTGCGCAGTTCGCCTCTTCTGATAGTCTGATAGATCCACTGTGAAAGACCAAGGCTGAGGAAGGACCAGATCACACACTGGACAGCGTTAGTTTCCAGAGGGATAGAAAGTGTGTCGAGAACTAACATCACCGTTGATCGAGTCGTAGCTCTGCAGTGTGGGGTCACGAAGTCGTGATTGCGTTTTGCCGAAGGCAAGGCATGGGAGGCAGCAGCTGGTCAAGCCTAGACATCGGATTAGTTAGGGATTGCGATGGGGAAGAGCATTGGGAAGGCATTACTGACATAATGTGCCTGGCGAACAGCAGTCAAAGAGAGAATAGTTCCAGTTAGTGTTCTGGGTGATCCTGCGAAGCTCCTCTGAGGTGGCTTGATCATAGGTCGGTAGGTCTCTGGGGTGAGGTCGGTAAACCTTCTCTGCGTCTGCCATTGTGTAGATGAAATGTCTTCGGATTTCTAGACTTTGTTATGGGAATCGGACATCGAGCGGGACGCCTGTGCCTTATATACTCGGGAATAGGGGGCGGGCTTACCGTCTAGAGAGGAGCTGATTAGCTCGTTTTGTCATTGCAATGCCTACTTGGACTACAGTCAATCAATCCCTTTCCCTGGGCCAGGATATAGGTGGGGTTCTGTTTGAAGAGGTTGCAAAACTAGTGGCCTGCCTCTGATTTTGTAATGTAATAGTGCGTCTTGGCCAATTGTACAATGGCCTGGCTCCCATGAAAGCTGACTTTTTGAACACTATTTGTGGCCCAGGCCTCTTAGCAGAGGGCGTCCGGGTCCGCTAATTCTTTCCGGAGCATGTGGTGCCTGAAAAGTTCCGTTTCCCATGTAGCCCGACACGGAGAGTCCTCGGACATACTGGTATAGGAGGGTGGAGTCGCGAGGATCCCTACCAAGAACCGGAACGTGAAAAGCTTGGTGCCGCTGAAAGTTCTGAGGCTTATCCCGAATAGGAAGTTCGCATCCGTATCTCGGTTTCTCACCCAATTATAACAGGGTCTGACCCACTCGGCAGGTTTAAGTTTAGCTTGACTATTAACCTATTATCTGCCCTGAGTTAGGTTAATTTAATTAATCCAGTCACGTCTCTAATCAAGCGTTCAACCTCTTCACGATTACGATATGCAGAATTTTCAAGAGTAGGGGGCTATCGATATTTCGTCTCTCGCTACCAAGCATGTTGAGGGACTTTTCTTCGATCAGTCGGTTTCCACCAGCTTATAAACCATGGCTCATCGCTATGAGGACATCTCAGAGGATAACCAAACGCTCTTTGCAGACAGCATCACCATTACCGGATTCATTAGCCATGGCGAATCTTTACCGAGTTCTATTTGTGACTACTTCGTGTTTGCTGAATATCGGGACACTACTGTGTCTTCTTGTGATCGGTCTGGCATGTACAAAGATGGGAAGTCATGAACTTGAAAGACTCAACTTTTTCCAAGTAAGGCTCGAGGGTAATTGCAGTTTCGGTCATCAAGTCTAATAAATTTGTCGCATCAAGATCGATATCCAAAATAGCCGAAATCTTTCCACGTCGAATGCATTGGGTACAACATGGGATGAGAGCCAATCAAACCAGACTTACCTGGTCGGCATAATGGGTTACTGTGGAAATGATAACAACAACACGACAATGAATTGCCTGTCTCCGAGAGCTAGCTCGTACTTCAATGTGCTGGAAGTTATAAGCGAAGAGGGAAAGGAGACCAATCTTTCGTCAGCTCTTCGACACTCACTGCGTGAATATAAAACAACCTCGACCTGGATGCAAATTACATACATCCTGGCCATTCTTCTAACAGCCGTCCAACTGCTCGCAGCTCTTATCGTCATGAACATGGCATTCAACCGTTTTGTCATCAGCCTTGTCTCCGGTGCCGCATTTATTTTCCTATTGGCAGCTGCTGCGCTCACAACAGTCAATTTCGTTCTGTTAAAGGGTATACTTGCCACTGAGCTGAAATCACAGAACATATCTGGCACGTGGGGCACTCGTGCATTTACTGTTATATGGTTCAGTGTGTCTTTGTCTTTGTGTTCTATGATTTCCTGGACTATGACCACTTGCTGCTTTTCTCAAGCAAGACGGGGGCCTCGGACCCAGGCTTATCCTGCAATGGGTACGGCACCAGTCTACCATTCGCCCCAACCCTCTGCACCCAACTATTGGTATGATCATCGCTATCACATGTACCAGATGAAACAAAATCCGGCCAATCAACCCTATTGCCAGTACTATTCACAATAGAAGTGACTGGAGCTGTTGGCCTAGCACGGAATCTTTGGTTTGCTGTTGATTTATTCTACATAGACTTCTTTGTACTTTGAATCAGCACTTTTTCTACTTCTTTCCTATATATGGGGATGTATTCGAAGTTCCCTTGACAAAATATGGAGCACATGTATTCAAATCTAAATCAAGTAGCACTGTGACAAGAGAATGGATATGGTATTTCATTATATGCGTCCATCCTCAAATTGATATACTAACATCATGCTTAAGTTGGATTAGCATTGTTCAAGGAGCCGGTCTGATCGGCTTGGTCTGCTCGACCCAGTCGAACTTGCCCATCACCTTGGTCAGCCAGACATCACCTGGCTTCTCAGCCATTCTTGGAGTAGAATGATCAAACATCGAGCCACTCAGGAAAGTGTGAGGGAATCCAAAGTCAAAGGGGTAAGCGCTGTCAACCTTCGCCATCTCCTCATCTGTAAGAGTCACGCTCAAGCTCGCAATGCTACCCTTGATATGATCGATCTTCCTGCAACCCACAATCGGGAACACATAGACAGACTTCTGCATCACATAGGCCAAAGCCACATCGAGCAGCTCCACGCCCTTAGCATTGCTAACGTCCTCAAGAGCAGCAGAAACCTTCTTATCATGCTCGGAGGTGGGAATGAACTTGCGACCGGGGTTATGCTTCTCCCGCTCCTCGAAGCCCTCTCTAGTCTGGAACCGACCCTGGTTCAACACACCATAAGGGCACAACGCCATCCCCTCTTCCCTGGCCATGGGAATGATATCCCTTTCGAAGTCACGCATTGCTGCGCTCCACATCCCCTGGTACACAGCAAACGGACGTAGTCCGTGATCCCGGGCATACTGATTCGCTTTGGTCACCACCCAGGCGGGGGTATCCGAGATACCGAGATAAATGACTTTCCCCGCCACGACGAGGTCGTTTAGCGCGTGCATGAGCTCCGGGATTGAGGTGGTGAAGTCCCACCAGTGGACGTAGAGTAGGTCAATGTAAGAAGTCTGGAGTTTGCGTAGAGATTGCTCTACGCTGACTTTCATGGACTTGGCGTTGTTACCGCCGTAGTTGGACTGGATGGCTTCTTTGTGGTGTGTCATGTAGGCAGTTGTGTATTTGGTTGCGAGCACAATCTCGTCGCGATTCTTGCGCTCTGCCATCCATTCGCCGACTAAGACCTCTGATTGGCCTTCCTGGTAGCCGCTGGCGGTGTCGATGAAATTACCTCCTTGGCTGTAGAAGTGGTCGAGGATGGCGAAGGCGTCTTCACGAGTACAATCTCCGTAGCGGGACTCTTGGCGGTTGCCAAATGTCATGGCTCCAAGGCATAATGGAGATACGCGGACAGCTGCTGCTGGGGCCAATTGGCGGTGGCGGAAGAGGGGAGAAGTTTGTGCTGCTTGCTCGAGGGAGGCCATGTTGAGAAGTTGATGTAGGTGCAAGGCAATTGATGTGATGGAGGGAATTCACTGAGGTTGAGAGAAACTTACAGCAATTTTAGAAGGTATACTCATGGATGGTTATATACTCGCTGTCCTCCGCTACTCCTGCAAGGTACTGATTGATGTCATGTCATCTAGGGGTCTATCCCAGCGGAGGTAAGAAAGGCTAACTTGCTTAAGTCCGGGCTTTATGTAACCGGATGACACTGGCCCACACGTCCATGCACCATGAAGGTGCTCGGGTCTGAGCATCGCGTACAAAATGAAACAGCGTCAATATATTCATTTGTGGACATAGTTGACGATCATCTCGACTAAACAAACAAGTCAAACCTGATTTGTTCGACAAGAGCGTAAGCGAATCTTTGCGGCCGGCAGGAACCGAGGAACGGAGTTAAACTATTCTTATACCCGAGCATAGCGGAGATTTGCCTGACAAATTAGGAACTAGATTCATCGCTGTACCTGCACTATATCTTTCCATATTCAAGTAACTCCTACTAAGAATGTCCTTCTCACATGGAATAGCAAATAGAAGACATCGATTTGGCCAACTCCTCTGAAAGCCCCAATGTCTATGTCCGAAATTATCGAGGATTCCTATACAGTCGTGCCTCGAGCTCCCTCTGATTGAATGACTAGTACTCTGTCTTAGTGGGCGTAGGAAGCGTTAGATCAAGAGCAGTCACTACTAAGTAGGTTCCACCCACTATGGTCATGCTGCATGCAACTTTTCCCGATTCGGTAAGCCCGCACGGATGCCCGATGAGGGGAAGCCGCGACCGACCACCGTGAGAGTAAGTACTTTCATCGACATACCGCTGTCTGTGGAGAAGCAACGAAGTTCTTAAGTCATGCTGTGCAAGATCTGCAAAGAAGGGCTAGAGGGTATTTGGGACCCCGCAAGAACAAGGCGGCTGAAGATAGACGACAGCGACAAAGAATATGGCAATGGTATGCCCTGCAACGTATATGTTGGCCGTCCGTTCCTTTCTGATACTGACCCTACTCAAGGCCGAGGTAGCCAGTGGGAGCCGGAAAGATGGGTGTTTGGGCATCACCTCACCAGGGAATCCTTTGTGGCATCTATCGAGCAAGGCTGTGTCGTATGCTGCAAATTCGCGCCATTGCAAGATATGGAGAACCTGGACCGGGAAACCCTTAACCCACAATTGGAGGGTGTTGAGTATTTTTCCGTATTCAAGATATTGTTGAAGCCTCGTTGCGTGGAAATGACGGTGTACTATGGTAATATCTCCAGCACCTGTGATATGATTCCGCATGAAGGTATGTGCCAGACATGAAGGCTTATTTGTTCCATGGAATATATTACCCAATCAGGCTGACCTCTGACAATTGTCTTGGTACAAGCTTTAAAGGTTTTGATGAGAATTTGAGCTTTGAAATAGGGGCATCCACTGATGACCAGACAACGTGGGTGTTAATTGAGCGGTGGCTTAATCGATGTCTTCAAGGACATTCGGCTTGCGATGATCAACATGAACTAAACTTTATCCCAAGCCGGCTTTTAGAACTGCAAACAGACAGATTTGATAAAATGTTCCGTCTTGTTGAAAGGCAACATGTCCAGCCCGGAGAGCGCTACATAACACTAAGCCACTGCTGGGGCTCAACGCCATCCAACCCCGACTTGATCTTGTTGGAGGACACATTTCGCAAATTGAAAGAATATCAGCCACTCTCTGTCCTTCCCAAAACATTCAAGCACGCTTTCACTATCATTGAACGGTTGAGATTTCGGTACATATGGATTAACCGTCTCTGTATAGTCCAAGATTCGCCTGAGGACTGGCGAAGCGAATCCGCAGCTATGGGGCAAATATACAAGAATGCATTTCTAGGGATTTCTGCCCTGGGATCAAGCAACGATGCTGATGGCTGCTTTTTCTCCCGAGATTCTGCACAAGTTGTCCCTAGCGTCGTCAACATACGTGTCGATAATTCGAGTGATCCCAAGGCATTCAGGTTTCGCTCAGAAAAGGGTTGGGCTTGGAAAGTAACATTTGATCGAGAACCTTTGCCAAAGCGAGGCTGGACCTTGCAAGAACGTCTTTTATGCCCAAGGGTTTTGCACTTTGGTCGGAAACAAGTTTTTTGGGAATGCAGGGAATGTACCTGCTGCGAAATACAGCCGAACAATGTTTACGAGTACGATGGTTATCGCAACGACAAGAACGATGACAATGGAGATTCTCTGGACAAATCATCTTTATCATCGCCGTCCGTTCAACACAACCACCTTTGGAAACAGCTTCTTGATGCTCCAAAGGTAAGGTACATAGGTGATCCCAGAGACCAGATCTACGTAGATTGGTGCGCAATCGCAATGGTTTTCACGGCTTGCCAGCTTACAGTTCCCTCAGACAAGCTTGTAGCTATTTCTGGCTTGGCAAAAGATGTCCGGAGGCGCCTCAAGGATCTAGGTTATGATGAAGATAATTATCTTGCTGGGCTTTGGCGTCAGAATCTACCCGGGTGTTTGACTTGGAAGGTCTTGGAACCCGGTCGCAGACCTCCTTCGTACCGCGCACCTTCCTGGTCGTGGGCTTCTGTGGACGGTGCTGTTCAGTTGTGCTATCCAGGCACACATTCTGTGCAAAAGAAAACTGCCCTGTCTTTTGCGCTTGTCATCAGCGCCAAATGTATTCCTTGCGGAGAAGATGAGACAGGTCAAGTGGCCAGTGGTACTGTCACATTGAAAGGACCTCTCGCGTCTGCAATGCTCATTCCGAGCGCCATGACTCTTCCGGAAGAGACTGCCATGTCTGTACTGAGCTTTGAAACCCCTGGAGTGGAAGGTCAAAAGCCTACAGTTAGGTATCCGCGAGCTCGGTGCGAGGTGATATTTGACGTCAAGAGTGAGATGTGTGCCGAGATCTACTGCCTGCCAATCGAAGCTCGCCATATGTTCAGGAATTTTTGGGAACTATTTGGTCTAGCCTTAATTCAGACTAAGCGAGACACGTACTCTCGAGTTGGCTACGTCGAAATGCTGCACGAGAGTGAGATGGCTGCAAATAATTTCTTCTCCGATTTTCCGGAGCATACTTGCGTCCTCGAGTGAATATAGGCCAGACTTCTCTACAATCATGATCTCGCCTCATAGTAGGCTTCATCGCTCGTTCTACCAAGGCCCTTCCAGGCATGTTGAAGGTGTGTTGGAGGCGACAGCCGAATCCCACTGGATATAGTAGTAGTAATAGTCGGACTACTTCAATTAATAGAACCTCTGGAATATCTGGAGCAGCTATTTAGATAGTACACCCTGCGTGGCACCAAATCTTCAGCTCCATACGACAATTTCAAATGGCTGGCCAATCCTAATGAAGATCAGAAGTCTCCTACACGGGAAGATTCTACAGTCTGATTTGAATGCTTCTTTTTAGCTACCATAGGCTGGAAGTCTTCGGAATCCGGAGTTTTGATTGTCGCCCTTCTACCGCATAGTTACAATTTACATAAGACTCTATATGAGGTTTTATCTCAAATATCAACTCTAGATCAGGCTACCACTGTAGGCTATACTTTATTATTTATATAGAGACTGAGATTTCCTCTTTTCGGGTATACTAGATAATTTCAATGTTGGGTTCAAAATCCAATGTTCGCTAGACTTATGTCGTTATGTGCCTTCAGGAATATGGGATACTCCTAGCGGAATTCGAAGGTATAGTCGCTAGGATGCCAACAAAGGTATGGGGCCCTCTTCTAGCGCAATTATCGACAACTCCATTGGAAAGCGGGGTAAACTCGACACCCGAGAGCGGCACATAACCCAGCTGGATCGAATGCCGGGTGTGATCTAAGTCATGCGCATCAATGCGGGACTATAATTGTGATCCCAAGCTGCAGCATGCTACTTTCTGCGATGAGACTTTTCAGCTAGACTCGAATACGGGCCTTAGAAGGCGCCACCAGGTGTTGTCCGAGCAGAAATAGTAATACTACACCAGTATTTTGGGTCCATGCTGTCACAGATCCTGGGGGCCTCCTGAAGTGTGCTACACATCAGGCAGACCGACAGTTCATAGAGTTTAGCCGGACTCATGGTGAGCCGGACATCTCCGTGATACGTGGCTATTGATGGGGCACGAGCACAGATCGACACGATTGTGACTGTCTGCCAGGGCAGGGAAATATAGCCGAGATGATCAGTGAACACACTCCGCTGTCGGAACATGTAAACTCGGGCCAAATTATTTAGGTCATCAATGCCGCACCAATCGCTTTGTAATGACGGACTTGTCAGAGTGGCTGACTGAGAGGGGTGCAGGTTGTGACAATTCTTCAGCTCCTGCAGCTACTCCACTGGTTTGGTGGAGCTGAAGAGTCCTCGGTGGCAAATAAGAACCAATAGCCACCTGCAGGTAGATTTCAAGCGATGATGGTAATCAGTAAGGGAATCAAAGATCGAGATCCTGAGTGAGGTCATGTAAGGGGTTTTTGTAGTATAAAAGGTGGGTAGAAGGCCGCTGTCCCTTCAGTGGGTAAACAGAACATCAACAGAACGCAACAATGGCTGCTCAGGACAAATATTGCTTCGAAAGAGATAAGAAAGAATCGGAGAGGTATGGTCCTACACATAGAAATTGTTCATGGATAGTCGTGCAGTTCTCCAATGCCACTCTAGGCTGGATGCACAGCACCACGTGCTCGTCCGAACCAGCGGGAATACCCTCATTCATCCTTCAATTCCAGTCGAAGACATCCGTTCTGTTGCAGATATAGCTACTGGGACTGGGTGAGTCTCTCATCTCAGTGCAGGGTCCAGGTTACCAAACTAACCTGTAAACCGCGCAGCATTTGGCTGCGAGATCTGAAGAAATCGCTGGATACACCTCAAGTCGATCGCTACTACCATGGATTCGATATCTCATCCGAGCAATTTCCTGAGAACCCAGGAACGATCCAATTCAGTGTTCAAGATCTGACTGTCCCATTCCCTCAAGAACATTGGGGACGATATGACTTGGTACATGTTCGTCTTCTAGTCGCTGCTCTTGAGGAACCTGACTACAAAGCTGCGATCGCAAATATCTCCAAAATATTGAGTATGGAAGACCCTGCATATGCACATTGCAAATTTTTCCTTGGCTCGACACTAATATGACTGCAGAGCGCGGAGGTTACCTCCAATGGGAAGAAATCGACGCTGAAACCTACCTCACAAAAGGCTATCCGGTGCTCAGTGAGCTTTATCGCTGTTTTGACTATGGACTTACAGCCGAGGGCAAATGCTTTCGGGCTTCAGCTAAGATATATGAAGAGACTCGGGCAGCTGGATTCGTGGGTGTAGAGCGACTGTGCTATGGTTCACACAAGATTTCTGATCTGCGCTATGATGTCGAGGAGAGACTTACTGCGATCATCAGAACACTTTATGCTTTCCTTTTGCTGAGATCTAAGCAGGTCGATACCGCAGAGGTCGCATCGCAAGAGGCAGAGAAACTTGCTGAAAAGCATCGGCGTCAGTGCGCGGAGGGAAATTCCCCGCCCCTGAAGTTAATGAGGGTTGTGGGTCAAAAGCCTTTGTATCGGCCATCGCTGTAGGCGAGGGTAGAGGTTGGTGTGTTGGTCGTTGCTAGTATCTTGTGATTAAACCTCTTGCTGGTACTTCTCATTATGTGCCTCTCTCTTTCGATGACCTCGACTTAGAATGAGCAAAATATGGTCTTCGTTTGGGAGGGAGAGTAGATCTATGAACTGTAAGTACCAGACAGGATCGACTCGATCAGAATTCATACATCATTAGTATGAAGTACAGAAAAGCAGATTATGCGAGGCATCAAGTGCAGGATTATCATCGGATTTGCCTACTTCACCTACTTAACATCCCTGTTTGATGGCTGCGGTGGAGAGCAGGGCACCGTGGCAGACCTGCTCACAGTTGAGGAGAAAGTATTATTACACCTATAGCGTGCATAGTTACATTGCATAATTCAATTGACTAATGCTGAAGGAATGCAAAAGGAAAAAAAAAAAAAAAAAAAAAAAAAAAAAAAAAAAAAAAAAAAAAAAAAAAAAAAAAAAAAAAAAAAAAAAAAAAAAAAAAAGAAAAGAAAAAGAAATGCTCCCACGCGGATTCGAACCGCGGACCTCATGATTACTAGTCATGCGCTCTACCAACTGAGCCATAGGAGCTGATTGGTTGAAGTCTGTGTTGTAAATTTGTCTTATATCCTACTATTTGGTATTCTTGCCCATCTGGCCATGTTTGTACAGTTGAAATGGCAGTTTCACAAATAGAAGCTATCATACATCTTCATTATCAATAACATGGATCAAAATAATATAATGGGGCGCGATATTGGGCGTATCACAACGTCTACGTCTCGTGTTCGTTGCTCAAAGCAGCTCACTATGTAAAGTATCCCTAGGCACATAGTACCGGACCTTTGCCCTGCAATAATCTCATTTGGACACCACCTCACTTTGGGGTGGGAAAATAATCGCTAGATCATCAAAAGGGTCCATCTCCTACAAGAATAAGACCACTACGGATGATAGCCCGCTCTTATCCAACCACGGGCCGTCTACAGGTACTTTGTTCCAGCCGTCCCTTATTGTACATGATCGTAGATTAACTTTTATTAAGAATCGCTCATAATGGGAACGATTTGCTTTAGTGAGTATTATGTACACAATGCTGAGGCTGTGCTATCTGCCCCATATGCGGATGAAGGATTATTACCAATTTACCCGGATTGGCTGGCAGTCGTTCTGCAACAGGCTATCAGCCGAGACCTGAGATCCATCAGCGGCAAGTCGTTCACCAACACTGCCGTTTCATGAACAGGGTCCTTGTGAACACCCTCTGAGCACACACGGAGATTGAACAATCCCTTGACTGGATTTCTAATTGACCAGGGGCTAATATACATCAATCCTTAGAATATAGGGCAAGTTCTTGGAACCAGCGACACCGTTTAGGCCAAAGTCCCCACCCTGGAAGCTGACAGAAAGCTTTTGCAGCAAGAAGCCAAGGCCGCAACAAGATTAAGGTCCGACATGCTTAAGGCTAAACGCCGGGGATTTTCCCGGATTGGCCGTTGAGCCAGCTACTGGTCTGACTATCACAGTATGAGGGGGTGTCTGAGAGTAAGACTAGCCAGGCCAAGAAGAGGGACATGACCCGTGTCTCTCCCTCTACGCGCCTGCAAAATGAAGCCAAGGCGCCGCTGTAGCAGTGGTCCTTGGCAACCGGCGGATGGCCTGGTAATGCACTCCGCCAGGGTCCAGTTGACCCCGTTCTGTGGAGCGTGGATCGCGGCCGGATCGCATTAAGATGAAACGTCTGGCTTGGCAGGGCCCGCATCTCCTTCGCCGCTCAACCGGTATCCCATCACCATTCCCCTGCCAGGGCCCTGATATAAAACACTCTCTGCGAACCTGCTGTTCAATCTTCTCCCCAAGCATTCTTTTCATCAGCCAGGATAGCTGTACATTCTTTTTTCTTACTTTCTCATCTGCGAACTACGTTCCCTTCCTTTCTACCACACATTCATTCTTTAACCCTAACTTCAAATCACCTTCATTTCACCTACCACTATGAAGACTACCACCTACAGTTTGCTCGCTCTGGCAGCGGCTTCCAAGCTGGCCTCCGCCCACACCACCGTCCAGGCCGTCTGGATCAACGGCGAGGACCAGGGTCTCGGTAACACCGACGATGGCTACATCCGCTCTCCCCCCAGCAACAGCCCCGTCACCGACGTCACCTCCACCGACATGACCTGCAACGTCAACGGTGACCAGGCTGCTTCCAAGACCCTCTCCGTCAAGGCCGGTGACGTTGTCACCTTTGAGTGGCACCACAGCGACCGCTCCGACTCTGACGACATCATCGCCTCCTCCCACAAGGGTCCCGTCCAGGTCTACATGGCCCCGACGGCCAAGGGCTCCAACGGCAACAACTGGGTCAAGATCGCTGAGGATGGATACCACAAGAGCTCCGATGAGTGGGCCACCGACATCCTGATCGCCAACAAGGGCAAGCACAACATCACCGTTCCCGACGTTCCGGCCGGTAACTACCTCTTCCGCCCTGAGATCATCGCCCTCCACGAGGGTAACCGCGAGGGTGGTGCCCAGTTCTACATGGAGTGTGTCCAGTTCAAGGTCACCTCCGACGGCTCCAACGAGCTTCCCTCCGGTGTCTCCATCCCCGGTGTCTACACCGCCACTGACCCCGGTATCCTCTTCGACATCTACAACTCCTTCGACAGCTACCCCATCCCCGGCCCGGATGTCTGGGATGGCTCCAGCTCTGGCTCCTCCAGCTCCGGATCTTCTTCCGCTGCTGTCTCCTCGGCTGCTGCTGCTACCACCTCTGCCGTCGCTGCCACCACCCCCGCTACCCAGGCTGCCGTTGAGGTCTCTTCCTCTGCTGCTGCTGCTGCTACCACCGAAGCTGCCGCTCCCGTCGTCAGCTCTGCTGCCCCTGTCCAGCAGGCCACCTCCGCTGTGACCAGCCAGGCCCAGGCCGCCCCCACCACCTTCGCCACCTCTTCCAAGAAGTCCTCCAAGACTGCCTGCAAGAACAAGACCAAGTCCAACTCCCAGGTTGCTGCTGCTACCTCCAGTGTCGTTGCCCCCGCTGCTACTTCTAGCGTCGTTCCCGTTGTCAGTGCCAGCGCTAGCGCTTCCGCCGGCGGTGTTGCTAAGCAGTACGAGCGCTGCGGTGGTATCGACCACACTGGCCCTACTACTTGCGAGAGCGGCTCTGTCTGCAAGAAGTGGAACCCTTACTACTACCAGTGCGTTGCGTCCCAGTAAATCAAGCATCGATTTGCTGTGATTCGAGGATTGGTTTGGATCTAAGTCGAGTCGAGCTCGATATGGGGAGGGAAGAGATTTAGTTGTTGGGTGGATGTGGATGTAACCAGCAATTAGGTCTTAGTTGAACAATAGAAACATTTTAATCAAAGCACGACAGTAGCTCATATTGGTTGTAGTAGGAAGTGATTTTGACGGCTCACTTCGACCAAGAGTGGTTTTGACTTCTCACTCCGATCATTAACTAATCGATTTAGAAGACATATTACTCGAGACAGGACAGATCGCTATCGCTTGGAACGTAGTAAACCAAACGCTAAACAGAGACAGACATAGCAGAACACCAAACATAAATAGAAAACATAGAAAGATTCCAAAATCATCAATAGAAGCAACACCATCACATCCCCTCCTCGCGGCTCTTCACCAAAAACGAACAAATACCCCAATAAACCTTCAAGAACTCATCTCGATCTTCCACCTTCAGCAGATCATACTCTCTGGTTCCCTTCATGACTAGCTTGTCCTCCATGCGTCTGCCTTGCCGCAGATCTTCAAAGTAGGTATGTGGCGCCTCGGCCCGAGTAACCCGGTACTTGGAGAGATTAGCCGTAATGCAGAAAGACACGTATGGATCGCGCTTCTGGCCCTGTTCATATTTCACAGCCATGGGTAGGAGAAGGCATGAAAATAAGTTGTTACGGGCTTGTCTCTTGGATAGGGCGTATGTGTCCTATATGATGTTTCATATTAGTTATTGTATGCTGAGTAGGTATGTAGGTTATGAGTAGGAGGAAGGGCATACCAAAAGCACGACTAAGGGACATTGTCTCCATTTGTCGTCAGGGCAAAATATTCCGCCGTCGCAGAGGAGAACACCCTTCATGTTTAACTTGGCGAGATTGTATGGGATAGAATATTTGTCGATGATGCTGTTATGGTTTGAACATTAGTTGCTGCTCTTCATTTGTTGTGGATGGCAGTGACCCTTACAAGTTTGCCCTGAAGATGTCCATACGGAGACCGAGGATGCTCAAGGTGGAGTCGATGGTGGGTGGGACATAGTCACAGTCCTTGTCCAAGTCGTGGATCCAGGATAAGGTGAGAAAAATGGTAAGGATATCATTCTTCCTTATTGGGGACTCGTGCGGTTTATAGTGGTAGTCCAAGATTTCTTGCTTGCTGGGGGTGATGAAATCTTCGTTCAGCTTTGCAAAAGCTGTGCGGTCAAATATGTTAGCTATTATCTAGTCAGTTGTCTTTATCATAAGGAGGATGGCATACATTTGAGAATCTTTTCGTCGGTAGGAAAAGATTTCCCAAGTAGGTCGATGGGAGTGACATTCTTTTCGGAGACACAGTTGAGAGCGTGCACTTGCTCATTCGTCCAGTACTTCCCTCTTTGATAGAAGAAACTGCGTGGATAGATTCTTTTGGTGGGTTGAATGGTAGTCTTCACTGCGGGTGCAGGAGCGACTGGGAGATCAGCAGCAGATGACTGCGCAGTGGCAACATGCATGTTGGGGTACTGCATAGTGTCTCTTTGGCTGTGGGTTTGTTCCACAAATGGAAAGTATAAGGTGAGGGTAGAATATAGTGATAGGAATTTGTCGAACATAACAAATTTGAAAGAAGTTGCTTGTGCTGAGGGTGTATAGTGGAGTCTGAATTCTTAGCAGAGAGTTGCAGACGGAGACAGCAGGGGGTTACAGCTGTGGGATTCCTGCGACTTATGTTCCCGCTGGCTAAAAAGTCTTCAGCTGTGTCGACGATGCCAGAATACCGTCATACACTGGAGAACATGCTTTGAGGAATGATTCACGTTATACAACAGGTCGGAGCCCTGGACCATGGATAGCGCCCAGAGGGGCGCGGCGGTCCGTATGTGTGCGTCTCGAGTTTCGAGGGACATGTTACACTTGCAGCAGGGTTTTATAGCTCTTTATGTCTCGAAATGTATCCCCTTTCAGTTCTCGCATTTTAAGACTTATATGGAGGAAATTCCCGGATTAAACCAATTATAGTAGATTTGACAGACTGTAGGGAATTTATCGAACAAAGGGAATTAGTATATTGACATGTCGAGAAAGACTCTTTGTTCGGATCGACAATGGTATTGTCCATGAAGCGTAATATAACACGGTACGATAAGATGAGATATTATCGCCTGTAAAGGTTTAGGGCTGAAGTATAGAGATGAACGGTGATTGGAGTGACTTCTACTCAACCAGGGCACAGTAGTACCCAGCCTCAGAGATGGAAATGGTAGCCATGCGCCACGTGGACGTCAGGTTCGGGGGGTCAATTCCGGAGCCTGCGTCATTATTTTAGCTACATTGTATAGAGCAACAAGATTAGCTTACGTTGATACTTTCATCCATTAGTCTGTAGGATGGCAGCACTATACATAGATCTGGATAGGTCAATGGTGTGATGATGGGTCTGATAAAATGCAGGGATGGAGCTAACCGGGCTACTTCATTGACTTGGGCACTTTCAAGGAGATTTTGATGTCAAAGGTGTATGCATGAGGATGGAAGCTAAGACAGCATAGAGTATAAAGACTAAAATGACAAGGGCTTGGCTAACTATATATACAGGGGGACGAGACTTTTTTTACGGACGTAGGCGCGTATCGTTGCGGCACCTGATATTGTGTCTAATGACAAGAGGCATGAACGAATCGGCAAGTCCCACGGGATGATGTGGGAAAGAAATGCTACTAGAGGTGCGGATGTGATGACCAAGGGTAGGAGGTTTCGGAGTTAGCCTGGCCAGTGTGCTAATTAGATGCGAAAGAACGGACTCAGCGGTCGCTTCATCAAGAAGAATCCCAAAACAGAAGATAAAACCATACATAAGGAAGGAAAACGCAGCGAGGCGGCAGTAGCAAAAAGACAAAAAGAAGTGACAAGGGTGGGATTCGAACCCACGCCATCTTACGATGACCAGGAAGCTCGGAAGCTGACTGTTAAGGTGAACCTTAACCTGGCGCCTTGGACCGCTCGGCCACCTTGCCGCTGTTATGGTAATGGCTTTTACTTATAATACATAAGGGCCGCAAAGCATACTATCACCGTAACACGCTCAGTCTCAGGAATAGCTGAGCTGGGTCCATTGTATTAAGCATTATTTAAATATCTGGGTATGTATATCTACTTAGACTTGCATCTAATCGGTCTATTCGGCATCATGGACTGCTTCACAATGTCAGATTGGATCGTATCCGAATCTTCTTCCTCGGCATAGTACCATTCCCTTGCAGGTCATTCAGGATATATATTGCTCGTCACTACGGCTTCAACAAGCCTAATACTGAAAGACTAGTACACCAGCACATCGAAGTAAAGACCTCATGATCATCTCATTGGTAATAAAAAAGCCACCATTCAACATACACCATTAAAAATAGAAATTATCATTAATGAGAGCAAACCGCCATCATCGCATCCTCAAAATCCCCACCCGAAACATAACTCTTCACCAATGAGCGCATATTCCCTCCCATCGTTCCCTTCACCCTCGCGAAGTACTCCGGATTCCAATGCAACCTGACAGTCCAATACACCAGCCTCTTCTCATTAACCCCATTGGACCCAAAGAAACACTCCTTCAAAGTTGCACCATGGAATGAGACCGGATCCCTCGCTACCCGCAACATCGTAACCAGCGCATCCTCCAAATGCCCCGAAAACTCACTTCGAATGACCTTCTCAAGAGAGACATGATACATCCTCTCGAACTCCCCAGCCAACACATTCAACCTCTCATCGGACGAGTTCATGAAGATACCGAAAAGAGCGACCTCGTCTGTTCCCATCTTCCCAGCGGTTACACGGTGGAGTTCTCTCACGTCGGTATCCACGCCGCGCGGATCAAAGGGAGTTCCCGGTTCGGGGCGACTCGCGTTGAGAAGCATCACGAAGAACCGCTCTGTCTTCCCGCTCAGTTCACCCTTGATGTCATCCAGAAGCGACTTGTGGTATTTGTCCCGGTAGGCGCGCTGAATGGCGTGCAGATCAGCATTGCTCCGTCCTAGAAGGACATCGTTTAATCCCTTTTCGTTCGTACCCAGCCCGCTCATCGCGTCGTGGAGGTACGTAATATCTGATTCCAATGGTCCTGTGGCGAGCGAAACGAGAATGGTCTCGAACGATCCCGAGGTCTCGGACTTCAGGTCCTTGGTTAGGGATCGGTTGTGCATCTTTTCGTAGGTGTGGCGGATAAGCGCCATTCGATTGGGGTCGGTAGTGCTAGTCAGGACGCGAATGAGCGCTTTTTCGTCCGTTCCGAAGCCCTTCATGGCTTTGCGGAGAGCTTCAGCTTCGTTGGATGCTGTCCCTGGGGCAAGGAAGGTAGGGTCATAGCCGGGGGAGGGACGGGAGGGCATGGGGCCTTGTTGTGGGGGATAGTTGGGGTAGGGTCCGCCTGCCCCTGCAGGTCCCATCATCGGTGGTGGTTGTTGGCCTGGAGGGCCCGGAGGGAAGGATTGGTATTGCTGTTGCGGCGCATTCGGGTAATCTGGCTGAGGAGGATGCCCTTGTGGATAGCTCTGCTGGGATGGAGGGCCTTGATGCGGATATCCCATGCCCTGCTGTGGTGGTGGGTATGAAGGATACGGACCAGGCTGCTGGGGATGTTGGCCGCTCATGGGAGGTGGGTATGGAGAGGCACCCTGTGGTGGGTGTTGCTGCTGAGGAGGGTATGGTGATTGTGTTTGCTGTGGATGATGACCGGCCATTGGAGGTGGGTATGAACCGTGCTGTTGAGGCGGCTGATGAGCGCTTGGACTTTGCTGGTAGGGGCCTGGACCCTGCGGGGGATATTGTGGATATTGTTGGTGCTGGCCATACTGTCCCTGCGGCGGCGGGTACTGTCCTGCAGGGGGATATTGATTATAGCCCTGAGGCGGACCCTGTCCGTAAGGTTGCTGATATGACATGGTTCTTCTCTCTTTCAAATCACTGCAGATTGAGGATGAAAACAGTGGTTAATGATGACGATGAAGTGAGATTGAGGAAGTGGGGGTGTGCGACGTTAAGTATCTGACTGCTGAAGCTTACAGACGGGCGCAGCCACAGGGACGGAAATGAAGAGCGACAGCACAGCCACTAAGGGACCAAGTGAATGGTTTGATTGGGCTGACCCGAGGAGCAGAGTTCACGAAGGAACGGTTCAAGTGGGGGGGAAGTGGCTGAGCGGAGTGAATATCTGCCATGGAAGGCCCCAAGGACGGATAGTGGTAATTTCCTGATCGGGAAAGTCAGATGCCTGACAGACCGATGCGAGGTGAGATTTCTGTGGCTAGCGAGGCTGACAGCATGCAGGATGCTAACTACTTGAGTTCCGGAAGAACGAGCCCTGCTGTACAGAAATGATCCGAAAGTCTCCTATCTTATCAATCACATATCGCGAAGAACCGTTATCAGTTATCGACACCTAGTATACATTTGTTTTTACATAGCTATACACCAAGGACTGGAATTTACATCAAACGGAAAAAATCACAGTAATAATACATCGGGTATATCTGCCTACGAACCATGATGCCCATGCTCATGCTCGCGCTCACTCATATGTCCCAGCCCCGCCCTCTGCAACTCGTGCCACTTCTGGATCACCGCAGATCGTTCTTGCGTTGTAGCCGCACACATCTCCTCAATACCCTGCTGCATACGCGAAGCTAGAATATCTTTCGTTTTACTCTGCGAGAGTGAGTTGCGGAGACTCTTGTGCATCCCTTCCAGTGGGTAGCCTGCCAAACCCCAGAGGCCTAAGTAGGTTTCAGTTAGCTCTGACATCGCCAGTTTTGTCGAGGAGAAACTCACCAGCAGTAGGTTTGAGAAAGACACCACCTACGCCCTTTCCGATACCTGTCAGCAATCCCTTTGCACCAGACTTTTCTATCCCGACCACAGGCTGTGTGACAAGTCCAGTAATGCCGTTGTAGAATCCATGCGTGAATTCCTATACTCATCAGCAACCTCATCTCATTTTTCCGGAAACCCAGAGAACATACCGTCCCAGCAGCGCGGAACCCGCTCCTCACTCCAAGCACTCGTGGCGAATCCTCCACTAAGGTATCATGATACAGTTTGGGGGCATTGTGAAACCCCTTCGTCAGACTCAAGGTCAGATCTGTAGGCAATTTTATAAGCCAGTTCGCAATATGCTTTGTCGCACGGGCGCTATGATACGACGTCTCAGCTAGGATCTCCTTTGTATGAGACATTTCCCTCGTTCGCAAACGAGTAATGGTTCGCTCGAGATCAAGCTCCGCGCCCATATCATCATCCGTTGTGTCGAACGCCTCGGTGTCAGAGCTGCTTGTGTGCGGGCTGGATGATTCACCACCGCTGGGGCTGTTGGTGGCTCCGTCTACATTCTGCTGTCGGTCGGGAATGGCCTGATCTCGGCTTATATCTTCCCCAGCGGAGTGGTAGGCTTCGTCGGATTCGATTGAACCTCGAGAGTTCTCGTTGAAGGAAGGTTGCTCGCGTTCACCATTCTCATATTGGTTCTGATCCGCCGTTACCGAGTGTTGGTTGTCACCATTCGGGATCATATCAGCCCCGACGCCCGAATCGAGAGATGTCTCTGTTCGCCCACGGCGGTGGCGGTGAAAGGACGATTTATCGAGATAGGACAGATGAAGCTCTTTCTTCCAATCATGTTTGTGGTGGAGTCGACGTTCATGTGTTGTCGAGAATATGCCTCGCATTCCGCTAGGCGCCTCCGCGATGCTGGTGACGAAATCCGAGACGATACCATAGAGAACCTCCGCACCGGCTGACAATGGTCCCCGAGGATCTCGATTGGTGTCGTATTCGCGTGACCGATATCTACATCCTCCGTTAGTCACAGACCCTGGATGCACAAGAGATAAACTGCACAGAACATACAGGACAACATTCCGCGGACTAATCAAGCCAGTCTCCACCAACACCGCCGCAGCAAATGTGCTCAGCTTGATATGTGAAAGCTTCACCCACCACACAGCTGGCCGATTCGGACAGATAGAGCACCGCATAGTCTGCACATCTAGATGTTGATAAAAGCTAGCAGCAGCATTTTGCACCCCCCGCTCCTTACGCATATCTCTTCCGATTTCTTTCGCCTTTTCTAACGTCTCTGGCTCAAGCGCTTGCTTAATCGCTTTCGTTAGCTTCTCCACCGTTAGCTGCTTATGCGGGATAGGCAGCGGGCCAGCGCCAGCGCGAGCCACGATCGAGCCCCAGAACGGCTGATCGCCGAAAAAGGGGATGATGATAGTCGGGCGACCTAGTACTAGCCCGGCGGCTGTGGTGCCCGCTCCGCCGTGATGAATAACGCAGGACACGTGTTGGAAGAGCCAGTCGTGTGGACATTTGTCGATCATGAAGATGTTCTCTGGGATTTCGTCTTCGTCTGCTCCGAGGTTACCCCATCCTTTGGAGACGACCGCCCGTTGCCCGCTTTCGCGGATGGCCTGGAAGACTTTCTTCGTTAGTGAGCCCGGATTGTCTACGACAATGGATCCAAAGCCGACATATATTGGAGGAGGGCCGGATTCGAGGAAGTTGGCCAGATCGTCGGGGGGTGTGTAGTCTGAGGCGGTAGAGAGAAACGAGAAGCCGGTGATGTCTATGTTATCTCCCCAGTCTCCGGGTTTTGGGAGGAGAGCTGGTGACCACAGATAAGTGTATGGGATGCGCAATCGGTGTGCGATACTCGGTGCCCGAATAGCGTCTAACGGGTCCAGCCCGAGTTCGCGCTTTCGGAAAGAGTTGATCAGATCTCCCAGGCCTTCCCACATGAGGATCTCGACAATGGCATACGAAGCAAAATTAGCAGCGGAGGGCTTCGTGTTTTTCGTGCGGATAGTCGCCAGCGGATGAGGGAAAGACTGTGTTGCCGACCAGGGCATTCTACAGCCATTTGATCAGCTCATTGAATCATCTTGGATTTTGAAAGGGGGATACGCACGTAAACATCATATTCAACGGAATACCCAACTTCTCAGCGCAGCTCAAGTGCACAAAACTCGGCGGATTCGCAATAATAGCATCCGCCACGAACGGCATCGTACGATAATCCGCCGTCTCACTCCACGGATCATCCGGAATATGATGCATCCCGGTCCCATCACCCGTCTCGTAGCACGAGCGCCAACAACCCGAGAAGATGGCCTTCATTTCGCGTCTCCGGCGCGGGATAGCTCCACTACGCAAGGTACTCATATGCGGCATCAAGCCCGGATTCCGCACCATGAACGCCATCAACTCGGCCGGATCACCGCCGATATCGAAGAACTCGAGACCCGAATGCTCGATAGATTCACGAAAGGCGAGATGCGTAGCGAGACGGACGCGGTGACCGTGGGATTTGAGGATTTTGCCTAGCGCAATGAAGGGTTGTACGTCGCCACGGGAGCCGACGACTTGGATGACAATGTTGAGTTTAAGGGCGCAGGGGGGTTTCCCGTCTTCGACGAGGCAGACAGATGGCTTGCGATCTTCTCGGAGGGGTTCGGGCTGTTGTTGGAGGTGTTTGATGATTTTTGATACCCAGGGTTTGCGTTCGCGGATCTTGATGTCCAGGCGGCCATCGTCTAGTGGAATGCATGATAGTTAGTAGCTGGGATTGAAGGAAGTGTGAGATTTAGAGGGATAGACAATGTGCGCACCCATTACCCGGACTCCTGTATTCAGGCCCTTCTCATGATAATGCGCGCGCCGAGGAGTCCGCCCATGACCTGCGCTGTTGGTGGTTTGTTGAGCAATGTGCTCGTCCGGCCAGTCGTCGGCCGTTGGGCCATCTTGATGCGGCATCTCTGCTAGCAGAGATAGACGGAGTCGACCATGTGCGGCCAATAGGAAAAGTTGAGACTTTCGTTGATGTGTTCAAGGACAATCGATGAGGAACTAGAACTAAATGATTGCGGAAAGAAAGAACAGCCGCAAGCAAAAAAATACAGAGCAAAAAGTGTGGACAGTTGATGTCAAAAGGAACCCTGGCGGAGGCTCGGCTGGTGACGCCATAGTCGAAATGCTTCATGGCAGAGCAACAAGGGAGACCCACGGATGATCGCATGGGCGAACCAGTGGAGCCTGCCCTTTTCAGGGTTCAAGCTGCCTTTGTCCCTCCCAAGAATTGGCCTAGGCTAGGCTCTTGCGTCTTTTCTCGGGGCTCGTCCTTTTCGCTCAACGTACACTTCAGTAGTCTGCCCATTCTGAAGCTATTCGGATTAGCCACGACTGACTAAAATCATGCTACTGCTTAACTAACTAACTTAGAGATCTTCCACTAAGCTATGACTTCACTCTCCCCTGGGATCACCACCTTATCGCTGACGATCGACGGCACCGATCGGGGCCCCTCCACCCTCATCCGCCGCGGTCCGAAACGGCGAATATCCCACAGTGGGCATTCGGCATTCCCACACACTCTTTAGATTCCACGGAAATACCAAGTGCATCTAGAATGATGGAAAATACAAAATATGTAGATTTGGAATCATTTCGTAAGATCTTTAAATTCTTGATAATCTATGTCGCCACTATCTATGCACCCGATCGGAGCAACCGCTAGTTCTTCAATCGCCGATCATCGCCATCCCGGTCCTCCAGTGCTTTGGCAATAAGCCCGACCCGGTCGGCCATCAGAATATTGATGCCAGCATCGACTTGAAGCTACGTAGGCGGAGTCAGTATATTTCAGACTTACTCCCCGGGTCATATCACTCACCTGGGCATTTTCTGGGATATTGTTGAGTGGTCCATACGAGCCACACACGAGCCCCGACCGCTGGACGTATCCGATCAGCCGAGGGCATATGATCAAAGTCTCGGAGGCCAGAACAATTCCATTGAGGCCCCACTGCTGGGCAAATCGCACTGCAGCTTGCAGGCTACCGGCTCGCTTCTCTCTGTCTGTGACTGGGGGTTTTCCGGCGTTGGTGATGTACATGACTGGATAGTTTGCTGTTTGAATGCCAAGAGAATGCAGATCTCGGGGGTGAATGAGGACAGGATAATGTTTCTGCTGTTCCCCAGGGTGAATACTTTCTCGAGGATTTTATCCACGAATATGTTGATTTCGATCGCTACTGGGGCTACCCCTGCTTCGGTGGCTTCGTGGATTCGGGGGTACTCTAAATCATTGTCAGCAATGTTCTCTGAGATGAGATACGGAGACGACTCACTGATCTCGACGTTGAAACCAAGGTTCTCCGGTAGCTGAGTCAGTAGCTCTTCGATGGTTGCAAACGAATCCTGGATAACGTGGCCTCGGGTGTTGGGCTTGATACCTTTGCTCATGTAGTCTACCGTGTGTCTCATCCTCTCTTGCATTTGTTGCGCTCCTTGCTCGTAGCCCCTGGTAAGAGACCTGGAGCGTGAATTCTTATGGTGGTGCCTGCTTCCCATGATGGATGTTGGATGGCCCATTGGGGATTGTATCTTGCTCGCATGCAGGAACTAGAAAGTTAGATCACTTTTAAGTAGTGCGTAGAAGTAATACTGCTAACCTGGTCTAAAGTCACATCATGCACTGGGACGTCAGTCCCAGACTCGCTCAAGGAAAAGTCGTGATATGCAACAGGTACAAGGTCCCTGGTCAATTGAGCATCTGGAGTACTTTAGCACATGATGTACATGATAGTAAAAGATAGACAGCAAATGACATACCAAACTATAACACGTTAGACCAGTAACTTATAATACGGAAGTTCAACATTACCTCGACAAAAGAAGCTCCCAGACTGGCAGCTGATAGGAATGACTGGGAAGAATGAGCATATAGTCTAGTTAGATAAACTGACACTCACCTCGACTGTGTTCTCTCCCAACTGTAAATAGTCATGCCCGGCAACATTTTGTCCGAAGCCTGTACATTGTCAGCAGCGACCGCAAATACACCTCAGCCTGTATGCTTACCTCGATGTCCTACGAGACAAAAGTCGTCATGACGGAGAAAGCATTCTCTCACAGAGGGGATGCTGGGATGCTGAAATGGCTTGATTATAAGAAATGTGAAGGTCACCGTAGCTATAGCCTGGAATGACCCACTCTCGAGAATGGGAATACTTCTCTCGCGCACCAGACTTTCCCGGTTCTCACCAAAGGAATTGAGATTGTCTATCAGCAGCGCTGTACCACCACCAAGCAACTCTGCTTGGCCGTCATGACCATCGCCTAAATCGAGGAGTTCTAGGCGCAGTTCTGCCTCGCCCGTGGTTGGAAGCTCGAAGATAAATGGTTCGTTAGCTGTGTCACCGAGAAAGGAAATGTTCATTTGACGGGCAGAGTCATTCCCAGGAGAAGAAACTTTCAGTGCAAGGTCATTGCCCGTGGCTATCGTTTTCAGTGATGGTGTTCGAAATTCAAATGGGTTCACCTGCTTTCCATCCTGCAAGCTGCCAAGGTAAACCACCAGTTGCGGCCGTTGATGTAGAGCCTTGAAATTGTCATCCTGCTGCGCCAATGATGCGGCAGTTAGCACATCGGTACCGGGCTCCCACTTGGATGGCCCTGTCATTCCCTTCGCCAAAGCAAGATGTCCCCGAAAAGCGGCATGCTCCTGTGCTGTCCAACCGCGGTGGTCCTTGATGTCCCGGTCGGCTCCATGCTCGAGAAGCACAGCGACGACACTCTGGTGACCTTCGACACAGGCGACAACTAGCGGGGTCCAACCGTAGATTGGCTCCAACGAGTTGAGCTCAGAGGCGCATACGGTTTCTAACAGTTTATTGAAGCGATCCGCCCTTCCGGTACGCGCGGCGACATGCAGTGGGCTGGCCCCTTCACAGTTCCTGGGCGTCCGACAAAAGCGAGAGCATGCCTGAGAGATGACCGCAATCAGATCCTCATAATCGTAGTGCAACACAGTAAATAGCGTTCGACTGAACAATGGTGCTATTCCGTCGTCCTTATCGGATGCGTGCAGGACTTTTTCCAAGTAAACCAGAACAGATGAAACGGCGTCTCGGTGGTTGCCAACAACCGCATACTCAAAAGGTGAACAGTCTCGTTTGTCAGTATGCATAATCAAGCACCATTGGGAAGCCTTGTTCCAGCTTTTAGCGACATTAAATATTGCCACGCACTCCCATAAAAGACCGTATGAAGCAGCATAGTGCAGAGGGAAGCGCCCGAGAGTATCTTCCGAGAGCAGAACCTCCTCTGATCTGGGCCCTAGCTCCCCAATCACCTGGCTGAGCAGATCTCGGATTTTACAAAAGAGTATACAGGAATACGGCGCCGATAGTTGCATCTTCCGGTAACCCAGAACCGTGAACAAGCGATTCAATAATGCAGCCTGAAGGGGAATATCGTTTTGAGGCAGCACATCAAATAGTAAAGTGTAGACAGTATTTGGTCGCAGTTCATATACCGCTAGCTCCAGCAGCTGGAAGAGAAATGGTTTCGCTGATGATTTGCTCTGCTGTAAGGACTCATCTACCATAGAAACCACGATTGAAGGTTGATCCTGCCGTAGTGCCTCATAAAGTGGGGATTGTGGGTAGACCGGCCTGCTGCTGGGATCTGAAAGTGCCACCTGTAGATGAGCAATCCATAATCCAAGGTTTCGAGCCAGAGCTTTCCTCGATGTATTTTGTTCCTTGAATTTGTCCAGATCATCTCGTCCAGCAGATCGGTTTTTCTCCCTACCCAGATATTTGTTAATTTTTGTGTGGATACGAGAAACCGCTTCAACGTCCAACCGTTGGTACCGCTGCAGTTGAGAAATTTCCTTAGTTAACCTAGAAAGTGATTGGCAAAGGATCTCAATGTCAAGCCGAGAGAGATTGTACGCCGTAGCTGTATCGAAGTTGCAAAGGCTTATGCGGTAATGGCCCTGTATCTCTTCTGCTTGCTTTCGAAGATAGCTTTCTTGCTCTTTGCGAAACCGAAGATGACCTGCGATGCTCAGGTCTAGGCATGATTGCACTTCTATTAACAGGTAAGACATGTATAAAGTTAAGACACGTAATCATCATAATTTTTTGTTTCTTTCAAGTAACGAACCTGAGAAGTCGGGGCGACTTTGCTCCTCTGTAGCTTTCTCAACAGCGATCTTCAGCAGTCTTTTGAGCCGATTGTATGGAACATGATGCTCCGCCCATTCTGGGACTTGATGAAGGTGAATATTTAGACCGAATCTCATGTTGCAATTTTAGGCGGGTTCACCCAAGAATTGAAAGAGGGAGAGTAAGAGAGAGTTGCGATGTGTTGTACGGGAGTCTCACAACTGAGGGGCAGACCGAAGTAGGAGACAACAAACGGTTGTAAAAAAGGGTGTAACAAAGGAAAGAAAGTTAAAAGAGAATAAAGCAGCGATACTCTTGTAGGCCAAAGCCTTGTCCTACATGACCTCTCTTGGCTTTTCGAACCGCATCCTTCCTGGTGTCTTCGCGGATATTTACGTAGCTTGCCTGATTGCTTCATAAAAGGCAGGTAAGTACCCTAACATCCTTTGCGCTAACTTGGCTTGATGATTTTGGAATGTTGGTGATATAACTTTCGGAGGAAGCCGAGGAGGAACACACACACCATCCCCGTGGTTGTGGTATTCTCGGCACCAGATGGCATACAACATACAGAACAGTAGCTGTCAGAGAGACAGGCACCGAGAAGAGTAGCCGACCATCGCGCTATTCACGGGATCAGCCGATAACCCGTAGTCGGGGTGAGGGCAGATGGGAGATCTTGACTGGAGTGGCCGTGGTAGCCAAGGCTCGTATACTGCTAGCCACTCTACGAGAATGGCGCGAATATCCGCGTTTGACTGAAGCTTAATCCGGAACAAACCTAGAAGTGGGAAGGCTCCC